TCACACATTTTTTGCCGATTAGGTTACCGAAAGCGGGAGTTTAGCGTGCGGAGTGAACGCTTAAATCAGTAGGCTACATACAATATTGGGCATGATATGCTGCTTATATATTGTTTGCTGTATGCTGTAATGTAATGTTTACACTTTGTCACGCCGGTCTATTAATGACGGAATCTGCAATGGCTAACTCACGGCTGAGGTTATCAACCAACTCGGCCAACTCACTGACCACCATTTCTTACGACAGGGATGGTTACGTCGTGGCCAAGCGGTGACAGTGTTTGCTCGTCAGGCGGAGGCCCGGGTTCGATTCCCGACATGGATACAATGTGTGGAACCTTTTTGATAGCGTACTGATAAACTCAGTTGCTCTCACGACAGCCAGATATAAGACCGACATCCGGGGCAAGTGGTTAAGGCGTTCGCTCGTAACGCCGAAAACCTGGGTTCGATTACGGACATGTGTCAATGTGTGAAGCCCATTTCTGGTGTCCCCGCCGTGATATTGCTGGAATATTGCTAAAAGCGGCGTAAAACATTACTCATTCACTCTGACCCGGAATCAACAGGTGGTGTGTATTGTGGTGTCTTTGTCAATCCTTAAGGCAGGGTGAGTGAAGAAGGCATCCGACTCCATATTGAAAAAGATTTGTCAGCTTAAATATCATGTTTGACAACAACACTCAGGACTGTGTCATCTTTGAACTCCTCTTTACCTTCAACCCCCATTGAAAGTAGCAGTTACAATACATATAAGGCATAGCTGCAGTTCTTTGAGGCTTTACGCCTCATTCAGGAGTTCCCCACAGAGTCGTAGTAAATTTTACCGCCCCCTCTTCTTCTGTCTCGTTTTTCATGACACCACCCCACCCCAGACCCTCAACCCATCTCTTATAGTTCTCACATTTGCTATGAGCTTAATCATGATCGATAACTCTGAAAGCGTGTAAGTACTGTATATTACCACACCTACAAGACATATCCATACTCCCACACTGGCGCTAGTGACGTCACTACCAGTCATGATCGACACCATCTGCCAATCTAACTCCCAGCATGCAAATGTCATGGCAGTGACATGGGCACACCTCCCGTGATGGCCACTCACTTCATAAACACGTCTACCAATACGACAGATGACATTGAAACGACAATATGTCTTAGACGGTATCTGTTAAACCAAAGGGACTTTAAAAGGTCGTGTGAGTCACCAGCCTAATATACAGCGCCGATGTTTCATACACAATTTGTCAAACACACGATAATCCGTTTAGTTTTAGTTTTTGACTTTTCCATTAAAAGTTGATAAAACGAATGCTATTAAATACACGATTATGTGATAGTAAGGAGCGGTGGTCTGACATTACTGAAAAATACAGAGCTGACTTTGATTTAGCGAAATTCAAACTTGAATTGCGTGGTGAACATCAGTTTCTCAACATTATGACCACGCTAGAGTATGATTGACGGTAGGTTCGCGGTCGAGCGCCACAAATGTATCATTGGACGTCAGTTCATGTGGCAAGTTACTGATGCCAGTGACAGACCCATCTTGATGAACTTAATCTGCATCATTTAGGAAGGAATCTTGCCATCAATTCAGAAAGCGAGGGGTGAATGCCCTCTACTTTGAAACAAGGACGGAGTGGGATAAAAAGATCTATTGTCTGCTAAACCGTTAGGCAATAGAACGTATACACTTGAAATCGGATTTGGTAAAGTTTACAAAAGATTTTAAGTCGATACTAGGCTTAACCAAGTCATCGAGTGAGTGAGTGAGTGAGTGGGTATGGTTTTACGCCGCTATTAAGCAATATTCCAACAATATTACGGTGGGGGATACCAGAAATAGGCTTCAAACATTGTTGTACCCATGTGGGGAATCGAACGCGAGAGTTCAGCGTGACGAGCGAACACTTAAACCATTAGGCTATATATTGTGTCAACTTTATTCACGATCAAACATGACGTGTTTTGCCCTAGTCTCAGTATCGACGATTCCTTAACACAATAATGGCATCCAGTGAATAAGACTCATCCAGGCATCAGCGGTCCTGAATATTACTGTCTGTTTGCCATTGTTCGGTCGAGATTCGTGAAGAACGGTCAATCTCAATATTCTGTCATATTCAGTGAGTGAGCGAGTAAGTTTTGTTTTACAACGCTTAGAAAAACATTCCTGCTATATCACGTCATCTCTAACGGTGGCACTTCGGTGAGACCTACGAGGAAGGTATGGTTCTAACAAACATATCATAATTAATATGGAATTAGCCCATGGAAACTCAAACGCCAACTTCTTCACACCGACATGAGACCAGGACGATTCCCTTGTATCACATTCTGGCGTTTGTAAATTCGATAATGTGTTAAAATCGTATAAAAACATGTCCAAAATTATCCATCCATAATTTACTTGGCAAAATATCCTACATCAGTTAAGCATGCAGTACCAATGGCTTATGGTATCACAAGAAATGATTTCCTGAAATTCTTGGAATTGATGATCAAAACAAAAATGAAACATGTTCAACAACTCGCACGATTATCAATTGTTTTGAAAAGTTAACTAGCAACTGTTCGCTAGTGCGTGGGCATTTAAGCATTGTGTCTGGAGAGTTGTGTAGCGTCCACAGACACTCTCTTCTGACAGCCTAATATTCGTACAATTGACGTACGATGTAACCCCACATCTGCACAGCAATACATTGAAGATAGTCATCGATTACTGGTTCCAAGCCCTGCTTTCTTCACGGACGCAGCTTGCATTATCGTGTTATATAGCGCCATTGTGTTTTCGTCACAGAATTCCAAATTGGTATCTATAAAACCGTCGACTGCTCAAAGGAATTACACTGTGCGACATTAGTACACGTGATATTTTAGGTGTTCCAGCCGTTGGGTGTTACTCGATGGTGTCCTCCAAGGTTGCCTCCTTATATGTTGTTTGTTCACTGGTAGGTCTGTCGTGTACACGGAGTTCTTTAACGACAGACCGTGTGTCTATTGACTAGGGCTGCACGGTATTACCAATATACCAGTATATCGCAGTACGCTTTTCAAACGTTACGTATTGCAATATTTTTTTTTCTGAGAACCGGTATATTGGGTAAAAAACATATATGACGTTTTTGTGATTATCTTTATGTTTTAAATTAAAATCTACACATACTTTCATTTACAACATATGTTTTCCTTCGTTATTTAATGACAAAACTTCATAATGTAATACTATTAATTGTATACAGTACTGAAACATTTGTTTGTTTGAAGTTAAACGCCGCATTGAGTAAATGTCCTGCTATATATCTGTAAATAATCGAGACTGGGCTAGAAAAGCCAGTGATCAACAGTATGAGCATTGACCTCCGCAACTAAGATACGATGACTGGTGTCATGACCGCCCGATCCCGTTAGTCGCCTCTTACGATAAGTATGGGTTGCTGAAGACCAATTCTGAACCGCATCTTCACGGGTTTGTACTAAAAGAGAGATTGTGAGCTGCGACACAACATTCATTAATCCTGTGGTTGTAGGAAGAACATACCAAAGAAAATACTTACTGGATAATAAAGATCTCTGGGGATACCTGAAGTTTAGTTTTCCGAACTGCTATTCATTTTCCGTAACATTTGTTGTTCAGTATATACGTCATTCCTCCAGTTTTTCTTTGCATTTGAGTAAACTTCGAAATACCTCAAATACAACTAACACCCTTTTGATTCCCCTGAGCGTTTTTTTGATAACTTTAACATATTTTCGGCAAATAACCACTGAATGTATGGACTACGTCGACACCGTCTTTGGTTGACCTCTTTACTTCAAGACCAATGGGAAAAACCCCAAACGGGATGGTATGTGCATAAAGGGGAAAACCCTGGGCCCCGTTCCTCAAAGCGATCGTAGTGCTACGACAGTCGTAAGTCTATGTTAAAGTATGGGAGTTACGATCATCTTAGCGCTACAATCCCTTTGTGGAACGGCGCCCTGGACAGTAATCTCAACACAGGCAAGGAAATGCCAGGGGAACATGTGACAACAAAAGTGCCAGAAAAAGAAGTCCAGGGTTCCCACCCACAAAGCGTCGGTAATGTTACGACCTGTCGTAACTATGTAGTTTATCATAGGTTTACGAATACCGTAGAGCTTCAGGACCCAGGCGCATACATTTAAGCTACCAATGTCTACTACAAATACATGTTTAGACCCTCACTGTATTACATCTGCGAATTCACACTAGAAACCTTTATCAAGGAATTCATCTGGTACTAATCCTAATTCCAAAATATGTTTTTAATCTCCGGCTTACCTAACAGATATGAACTACTACACGATGGTTGAAGATCTGGATTAGAATTGGTTTTCAGCAACCACGCTTGTCATAGGAGGCGACTAACGGGATCGGGTGGTCAGGCTCTCTGACTTGGTTGATAGAGCTGGTTGATATCTAAAATGTGCATATCGATGGTCATTTTGTCAATCACTGGACTATCTGGTCCAGACGCGATGACTTACAGACCGCCGCCATATAGCTGTAACATTGCTAAGTACGGCAATAAACGGCAATCACTGAATCGTATGGTCCGGACTCAAACAGACCGTCGCCATAGAGATGGAATATTGCTGAATACGGTGTTAAACAATAAACAACAACATCAACAACATCTACCTGAACATGCCAATCGAACATATATCTTAATAAGCCAAATGCCCGTCAAGACCCTGGTGACAATTGGTCTTCAGTAACCCATGCTTGTCGTAAGAGGCGTCTAATGGAATCAGGTAGTCAGGCTCGCTGACTTGGTTGACACATGTCATAGTATCCCAGTTGCGTAGATTTATGCTGATGATGTTGATCGCTGGATTGTCTGATCCAGATTCGATTATTTACAGACCGAGGCCATTTACCTTTAATATTGCTGGGTGCGGCGTAAAACAACACAGAAACAAACACAAACAACCCAAACACAAATAAGCGATCATCACAATAAAACATTTACCTTTAGGAGACAGGTTACAGAATCCATACGGCCCCGATCTGCCGAAGATCTCATGAAGAATGATGGCGAACGCATAGACGTCCCCTTTCTGCGACCCCGACGGCGTCTGTTTCCGGAGCAACTCGGGGGCCGTCCACAACAGGTCTGAAAGAACAACAGTGCGGCACTGATGACACTAGACTAGATTCGTCAAAACAATCTTTGAAAGTTTAAACTTTAAGAGAAGATACACAGACAAACCTGGATAGTGAAGCACTGGATAGTGAAGCACTACAAGTGGGCATCGTTAGTTCGGCGATATTACGCTAAATATGTAAAGGTCACATGCAACGTAAAACACAACTTTGCAGATTCTGATACCTTTCGGTATGGACTTACCGAAACAAATCATCAAAAAATGCAAATTCAACTTATAAAGTTGAAAAATAACGCGATGAAAAAAATCGTAGTTCAAACGATTCACTAATTTCCTCCCCCAGCGCTTGGTGGAATTCAAGTGGTTTCAACAGCTGGGCTGCGCTCATAGCACGTGCGCAGTGAAATAGGTTCGCGCAGCTTGGAAGCGGGTTGTCCGGTGAATACTCGGTGAAGGCTTTGGTGTGAGCTATTTTTCTAATGTTTTGTTGATATTTCACAGGCGCGAGCTTTTTATATGTTATGACAGTAGATTAACTGTTTATATAATTTCATTTGTCTATTTCACCACACGCCCTTCTTACCGAGTCACTTTCTCAGTTCGATACTTAAAAGCAATGTCATTATTTAGCGTTGACAGAATTTCTAACTGTGATATAGATATGTCGTTGTCACAGACAAAACTCAATGTCTGTTTTATTGACACCTATGTGTCTGCCTGCCTGTCTGCTAATGACCATATTCAATACACAACTGCGATCACTGACCACATGCAATTTGAACTTAACACCAATCAGGCTATACACCATAAACAAAACGCATTGATTTATGGCTCGAGTTCGGTCTCTGTCACATTATGTAATTACACAGACAGGCAGGTGTGATACTTGTACACATGGCATGTTATGATGTCTGTTGATTGCAAAATGTTATACACAAAAAATGAGCATGTATTTACAAAACCCAACATCTCTATATATACACACACAATGAGCCGTGAGAGCATCTGCAAATGAACCAGCCGTTACACTTGAGTGCACACCCACCCGCTCTGACTGGGTTAAGTATCCCGGCTGCTTCGTTTCTTGGGAAGTAAACCCAAGTACACAATATTGCACTTTTGATTTGCGATTGTACTTTGTAATTTTGTTTATATGTTTTTTCATAACCAGCAATGTATATTATATGTCATGAATAAGTGATAATTGTGTTTTAATTATGTTTGATTTTTTGGTTGCATGTGACCTTTAACATAGCAACAACGGTAATGTTTCAGAATAATATATGGAGAGCCATGAAAATACGAAATCATCAAATTCCCAGGGTTCGAAAGTATACAAACCCACCCCCATGCCCCAACTAAGAAAAACCTCCCCAAACCCAAACTAACAAAAAAAAACACACCCAAACCCCACAAAGCAGCCTTTCGTATTTTGCACGAATCGTTCTTGGGCAACGTCGTAAAAACCTTTAGGTTTGACATATGATAGAAAAAAAACTAACATGAAAAAATGTAATATCTTGTACATGAGACAAAACCTGCTTCAGGAAATAGTGTTTTTGTTGCTGTTTCCAAGGCCATACCACCCCCTGCAGACATTGAAGGCGGGAACCTCGTTTCCATTTCGCCCAGGTCGAGGCCCCGATCTATACCTAAGTATGTTAGACACTCTGTGACGTCTTTATTGATGTCTTGAGGAGATATGACGTCAACGACATAACTCTTGAACTATCTGTCCACCAGGTGGTTCTCAATCCTTATCAGGTCACAAAATAAGTGCACTGTAGCCATGGTGAAATAATGCGCCTATGCTGTCACTATACGCTGACTCTGGTGCACTGTTTGAATGAAACCTGTCTGAGAGTAGTCTCGAGTGTTTCTTGAACTAGTTCGAACACTGGATTGAATATCGATAAGAACTATAAATGGTCAAAATCTTCCTTCAGGCTTTTCATTGAAAACGACCAGAATGAGATTGAAGTGCTTCTAAATAGACGTCACACTGTTTTTCTACGCATCGTAGAGATCATATCTTTCTTTTTCTCATGATATGAAACACAGGCCGGATAACTCGGTTATTCTAATCGCTTAAATCCCCAGAGTTGCCGACCTTTGGCACGCTAGGAACCTGTGTTAGCGGGTTCGAATCCCGTTCCGCAACGGCTATGTTTTTAATTTGTTTGCACCCTGTTTCTGCTCGTAGGGTTCACCAAAGTGTTAAACGTCGAGGACACCATCCCTTTGTTATAACTTCCCAGGGGCGGTGGGGTAGCCTAGTGGTTAAAGCGTTTGCTCGTCACACCGAAGGCCCGATTTCGATTCCCCACATGGGTACAATGTGTGAAGCCCATTTCTGGTGTCCCCCGCCGTGATATTGCTGGAATATTGCTAAAAGCGGCGTAAAACCAAATTCACTCACTATAACTTCCCACATGAAGCTGACACGCCATAATATAACAGGAATACTGTTAACAGCGGTGTCAACCCTAGACTAACATCTAGTCTTTGAAATGAACGTATTTTACAGAAAGAAACAGTTCCTAGATTATAATAATAAAATATAATTAAAAGGAGCCCAGAGACATTCTTCATTTTAAGTGTGGAAATCGATACTTGCCACATATTCTAGACTTGCATGGTCTGGCTGCGTTGGGTATATTTGTTTCAGGTTGTGTATGACAGACTACGTTAACCCAAACTCAGTCACTTACATAGGATTTTACAAAACCTATTTATAGGACACAAAAACAATTTCAGTTATTGAATTACTACATTAATACAATTAGTATCATTTGCTACTGGTGACAGAATTCCAGTGGTACAATCCCCCGAGTGTCACTGCATAAATCTTCATGAAAATGTTCTCTTAAATCTGATTCGCTCAAACGGACCCTCCAGGTGTGTAAAACAATTACCATCTGTTTATTGTTTAATGACCCAGTCAGCGATATTACACCTGCAACATGTCGGCTTGTAAATTATCGAGTTTCAGCTTGGGAAATGTCTGATTCATTGTTATAGGGCCTGCAAGTCTCGCGAGCCGCCACTTCCGGTACTAAGCTGGTTCCCGGCTCCCTCAGGGCGCGCCTAACTTGCGATATGCGAGACGGGGCCCAGCTTACTTCCGGTACCAGAAGCGTATATTCAGGAACCAGTCCTGGTTCCAAATTGCGCGACCGCCAAATATGACTTTACTAGACCGGACCAAGTGTTCAACCATGATTGGCTGTCACAGGTGTTTACAGTTGTAATTGTTGGTTAAATTTAGGGATGGTTGGATTGGAAATTTGTTATTCCTGCAAGGATTATCGGTTCCTTACTGTCAACCGACAACCATGACACCATTCGAAAAGGTATGGAAATTTGTTTGTCACCGGAAGTACTAAGGTCTCGGGCCCTACTAATAGGAACACTATCTGGTAACGGCAATTCCTTGGCGGGATAGGTCCACTACGACCCTCACACTGACCACACTTCATGCATCCCTAGGCGGGATAGGTCCAAGGCGACCTTCACACTGACCACACTTCATGCATCCCTAGGCGGGATAGGTCCAAGGCGACCTTCATAAAAAAATACATCAATAAAATTTTTGATAAAATAAACATGCGTCCCAAGGTGGGGCACGTCCATCAAGAGTCCCGAGGAGGGACACCACCTACCCGAGGCGGGATGGGTCTGCCGTAATGCCAACCTAACTGATGCTGATGTCATTCTAGAGGCAACCATTTTATATTCTAAAGACGGGGGACTTAAAGTTTTTAAACTTAATCTGCACAATCAGATTTTGGAAGGTAAAAGTGTGATTTTACGAAAACACAGGTATTTTAGGGCGCAAACAAACTTTTTTTTCGCTTATTTTCTGGGACAATATATTTTTCGCTAAAATTTCTGGTTCCCTCTAGATTATCAAATGGCCCAAACCTTACCGGCACCGGAATCCCTACAAGCAAGCCAGCTAATGGGATACACGAGATTATCTGTAATCATATCTGTTCCTCTCTGCAGTAACACCTTACGGACACTTCTGCGACTACATCCACAACGAGCCATTATGAGCGTAAGCATTATCATAAGCATAAGATCCATAACACTATTACATGACACAAATCTCATCTACCATTGTAATAGTAACCCGGGGCGAACATGTGAACTCCTATTACACGACAACACATATCACAAAATGGACACTGGCTTGATTTCGTGTGATGCTTACGACCCCGAGCCATTCGTAACCATTCGCCGTTTTCCGTAACCAGGAAGAAGCAGCGTACCCATATCGATCAATATTAGCGCGTATGAATTCATTAAGTACTGTGAAGAAAGTCCCGGTCTATTATTTTGTTTATGTCTAGCTTGTATTTGAAACCAGTCACAGTCATTTCACTATACTGAATAACAAGTCGTTGTAAATGACAGGCGTGTGTCAGACAGACGAAATTCTATACCAGTCTGGTGTGTGGTACAAGTTGACCTTTCTATGCAACGCTCGTTTGCGGAACCAAGTTTAGAAAATGGCAACGAAAGCATTCAATGAAGTTAAGTGTTCGTAAATACGACAAACGTGAAGTACATTCATGATATTTTCAGGAATATTTTAATGTTTTACATACATCTTGTATAAAAAAATATTATGCAAGACACAGTTGCGTCTATTTAGCTCAAGTCTTGAGTGTCTGGAATGACTTCTGGAATATATCTGGGGGAAATATTCTTGAGTCAATATTGGAACAGTTAACAGTTCTTTCAGATTTGCCTGTTTTTTCGCTCGACAAATGGCCACGAGTGGGGCACGAGTCACTTTTCCCGAAAAGGCACGAGTGATTAAGAATGAATACCGAGCTTGTCTGAGTGGAGATCAAAATTAAACTACTTACTCCTGTAGTACGCATGCTCGTCCTCTTTCCGGTATGTCGCCGCCCTGACCTCCAGTAGTCCGAAGTCGGCCACTTGTAGAGTCCACCAGCTACTGACCACGCAGTTGGAACTCTTCAGGTTGCCATGGTAAACCAGCTCGCTGTCGTGGAGGAAGATCATTCCCTGTTGACATAGGTAGCGTAAGCGTGCGTTATACTACTTGTGTGACACATAATAATAAGTAACCCGAAATAACATAGAATTAGATCTAATTTTTACAAGGTCCGCTTGGTGATTAAAAACCATACATGGACTGGTCTCAAAGGAGCGAACCCCTTAACAATGTAAATACTCAAGTGTTAACAGCGATAACATGTGAAGATGTCCGAGAAAAATGTAATCGGTGAAGTTTTCCGTAGCAGCGACCGAAATTCAGCGCAACCTCTTCCCTCTGCACGCTCCCACGTACGCACGCACTCCTCCAAAAAAAAAACATCAAAATAAATCATACCATAGAAAACATTCACTTTGATCGAGTACCTCCAGTACACAACATCCCAGTTATTTTTGAAGTTTACACGTTGTACACGCATACAGAAATATAGTAACCCCATTGTTTAACAGCAAAGTCGACTTTATCCAATGCAGCTTCTTCAGCTTGCACGTACGGGTGTCCTTACAGATCTCTTTGTTTATTGACTGAATGCAGGCATGACGTATAGATGAGCGCACCTGCTGTGTGTAATGTACAGATGAGGGTGTGAAGTGATCACTTTGTGAAGTTACGCGACATTGGATTCACTGGGGCAGAATATGAACAAATGCTAATTGGACGTTATCCAAAATAGCACAGAACTATTTGTTTTAAATGTCCAGTTGTTGATTTTAAAAAATCGGTAGACTGGAACCAAGGAGTGTCCCCCTAAAATGTAAATACCCAATGTTATTGAAAACATGAGAGTAAATACTCAATGGCCCAAAACAGATCCCTGAATTTACTTTGATTGGGAAAAACAAACACGGTGAAACAATTCAAACATTAAAATATGTGTCAAAATCACGAGGTGAGGACTACTTCCAACATGGACTCCTCTTACTGCCAGCCGAGTTGACTCATGAGACTGAGTCGAACCGATTGAATGAACGGAATTGAACGAAGAACGTTATCGCCTCCAGACGGGGAGGACCAACACGCCGACGGCGATGTCGTGGGCGGTGTTCTCTCCGACACATATGTAGATGAATGCATCGTCATCTCATGGTGGCTTTTTTGAGCCAGAAAATAAGATCGGCGCCTAACCAATCTCATGGGATGTTTTGCCATGTATATTAACATTATTCCCTCCAGATGCGTGTTTAGAAACCAGACACCTGTATCGAATGGAAGCGGTTCTGTAATGACAGGAGACAAGGCTAATTTGAAGTTTGGAAACATTTAGAAACAGACGCCCCTTTGACATCTTAATTGCTTTCGCGTGGAGCATATGTGATTAAATTCTAAAGATAGCACGCTTGTGTTATACTCTCATTCTTTAATGAAGTATAGTTGCCAAACAAAGCGGCGATGTCCCACAATGTGTTTTCTTAGTCAGACATATCTGTCGCGAAAAAACCCTGATGGGAACAGCGAAATGAGGGATGCTGAAGACAAATCACGCTGGCTGGACTAGTTGATTGGATTTAAACATCAGTGTCAACCAGTCAGAAGGTGGCTTTGTTAGACGGAGCTCAGTCTAATCAGGGGAGGGAACTGAGAATGTTTTGCATGCAGAAATATAAACAATCGCAGAAAGCTGCCCATAATTCTGTTTGGGAGGGTAGGGTGAATTTGATGATGGGTGTGTTGAATGTAAAATGCGGTTAGCTTGATTGGGTATTCTGAAAGAGAAAACGCCACGTCAATGATGTACGGGTGAATATACATTACGTTCCCCCATCTAATGTGAACTGTGTTTCAATCTTGGTAATACACAATGGCCTTGCATAGATGTCCTTGTATAGATGTAGCGGACACTAACATTTAATTTTTAAAGAGACTGGCCATGAATACATACAGTCGGTGTCTGGTCTAGTCCCTATTTCTAAGCAACAGATCAAGGCACGTTTGGGATTCATCAAGAGGGAATACAGCGACTGGTAGGACCAGTGAGTGAGTTTAGTTTTACGCCGCTTTTAGCAATATTCCAGCTATATGGCGGCAGGGGATACCAGAAATGGGCTTCACACATTGTGCCCATGTGGGGAATCGAACCCGGGTCTTCGGCGTGACGAGCGAACGCTTTAACCACTAGGCTACCCCTACCACCAGTGCGATTATATACGGTGAACTATTCTTATTATGAATGGAAAGGGACCATTGCTTTTAGTTCGACATAACCGTTGTCCGTCATGTGCAAGTGGCCATGACAAAGAAGAGTTCGCTAGCTATATCCGTCAGTTCGTCATAAGCGTGTTGTAAATTTAGTTTCCCGTATTCGAAATATGTCTCTTGCACATATGACAGCCTTGGAAATTCAGCTCATTGGCTAAATGTCACGTAGCTTTGTATGGGACGATATGGAAAGACTTAGACGTTTAGGATCTGGGCGAAACACCAAGACTAAATTAGAACCCTGGATGTGAAGGATATATAACCGTCTCTGCACAGGACTGCGGCTCCTTAAACCTCTAGATTTGGTTGGTTCTTGTTTAACGTCGCACTCAGCTATATTCCAGGGCCTAGATTTTCGAAGCTCTCTTAGCGCTAAGATAGTCGTAAGTGCCATATATTAACCTTAACTTACGACCATCTTAGCGCTAAGAGAGCTTCGAAAATCTAGGCCCAGGGTCCCGATCCACAAAGCATTCGTAGCGCTACGACATTCGTAAGTCTATGATACACTATAGAGTTACGACAGGTCGTAACGTTACGAACGCTTTGTGGATCGCGGCCCAGCTCTATGGCGGCGGTCTGTAAATAATCGAGTCTGAGATTTGGGGATATATGTTCAGGCCGTCGATAGAAAAGAGGTAGAGTGACTCTTTTAAGAGGTGTCTTTGTGTTTCTAGGCGTACTTCTAGTAATGCCATTTAGTAGATGTAGGTAGAAGTTATTTATGTGTACATTACTACAGTCGTTGTATTAGCTATTGGTGTAGATTACTTAATATGGACAGGTCGAGATATCCCAGGGCCTGCTCTGAAATGTTGAAACACTTCGATGAACAAGGTTAACTTTGTTGGGTTTCACATATTCGTATTCGGGTTTGTTTGTTTGGAATAGCCAACAATGTGGTAATGTCAAGATTTTCCAGTCCATGTTTACACAGAGATGTAAATATATTGGGCATCAAAATTGGCATTTCAAGATTTCAACGTCACCCCTTTTGAATAATATATATTAAAACTCTTTTGGGAGTTGAGAAGTATGTATTAGAGCTGTTTCCGTCAAAGGATCTCTTAAGCGTGTACTGTAAATTTCGCTGTGCATCGCATAAATCAAATGTTTTAAACGTTTGAAAGATCATAACAAGCTGTTGTGCTCGATGTGTAATTTAGGATCTGTTGAAGATGAATTCCACTTCCTTTTGTTATGTCCTCATTATAAGACAAGAAGAGAAATGTTTATACCACCATATATTATTATATGAATCCCTCCCATGATAAATTTGTCTCGTTTTTGTCAACAACAAGTTCTGGTCTTATAAAGAAGATATCACTGTTCCTTAAAAGAAATTGACCATGTTAAGTAGTCTTGCATTATATATCAAGATATCTTGCGCACTGTATGGTTTTTGTTTGTATCTTAGCACTATGGGACGTGAGATCTCAAATGCAAATAAACTTGTCACTCTGCACTTGTCGAGTCTGGACCAGATAATCCAGTGATCAACATTATGAGCATCGTTCTACGCAATTGGGATTCGATGACATGCAGCAAGCCTGGCCACCCAATCCCATTAGTCGCTTCTTACGATCTTCACGGGTCCTTAAACGTCAAGGCAACAGCTGTTCTCAGTGAACGAGAACCACTGTACTTATCGATCGCTTTCCTCTTTTCAGACTTAAACTAGTAATAGAAATAAAGAATAAATACAATTTTAATTTCCTTTGAAGGAAGGTTTTCGAACTCACACGATCGTTTTTATATTTATCGTTTAACCAACTAAACTGTAATATCAGATTAAAAACAGCAATAGAAACAAGTATTAAAAACAAATACTAAATGGAATGTTAAATGGAAAATAGAACTATTCTTACCGAGTTCTTACTTTCTTTTAAAAATTAATTTAACTAATGGAATTCAGTTAATCCTGTTCTTGTCTACCTTTGATATATCAATCTTAAAGTAAAAACATTTAAGTCGATGGTTTACTGGATGCTACAAACACATACTGATTGACACTAGTTCTTAACTAAACTAAACGTCTAGGCTCTGTGGGTATTTTGCCAACAAGGATCATTAATCGTAGACATAGCCCTGAGTCATTAACTGAACGTCCCAAAAACTCATATCGTAGTGAAAGTGATTTAAATCAATGTCATCGTTCACCAGGCGTGAAGGACCCAGCCTCGATGGAGCCAGTCTCAGGGGAGCCTGATATTGAAAGGTTCTTAGAGACACATCAGTCTGTACCAGGTACCCTTGCCATCGTTGCGATATATACTATTTTGAGTGTTTACAAACTCATATAGATTGCTTTTGTGGTGGAGTAGATAGAGAGTCAGCCCGGAGAGCGGAAGGTCGGCGGTTCCATACCCTGACTGCTTCCGTGGTGGAATGGATAAAGAGTCAGCCCGGAGAGCGGAAGGTCGGCGCTTCCATACCCTGACTGCTTCCGTGGTGGAGTGGATAAAGAGTCAGCCCGGAGAGCGGAAGGTCGGCGGTTCCATACCCTGACTGCTTCCGTGGTGGAATGGATAAAGAGTCAGCCCGGAGAGCGGAAGGTCGGCGGTTCCATACCCTGACTGCTTCCGTGGTGGAATGGATAAAGAGTCAGCCCGGAGAGCGGAAGGTCGGCGGTTCCATACCCTGACTGCTTCCGTGGTGGAATGGATAAAGAGTCAGCCCGGAGAGCGGAAGGTCGGCGCTTCCATACCCTGACTGCTTCCGTGGTGGAGTGGATAGAGAGTCAGCCCGGAGAGCGGAAGGTCGGCGGTTCCATACCCTGACTGCTTCCGTGGTGGAATGGATAAGCCCGGAGAGTGGAGTCAGCCCGGAGAGCCCGGAAGGTCGGCGGTTCCATACCCTGACTGCTTCCGTGGTGGAGTGGATAGAGAGTCAGCCCGGAGAGCGGAAGGTCGGCGGTTCCATACCCTGACTGCTTCCGTGGTGGAATGGATAAAGAGTCAGCCCGGAGAGCGGAAGGTCGGCGGTTCCATACCCTGACTGCTTCCGTGGTGGAATGGATAAAAAGTCAGCCCGGAGAGTGGAAGGTCGGCGGTTCCATACCCTGACTGCTTCCGTGGTGGAGATGGATAGAGAGTCAGCCCGGAGAGTGGAAGGTCGGCGGTTCCATACCCTGACTGCTTCCGTGGTGGAATGGATAAAGAGTCAGCCCGGAGAGTGGAAGGTCGGCGGTTCCATACCCTGACTGCTTCCGTGGTGGAGTGGATAGAGAGTCAGCCCGGAGAGTGGAAGGTCGGCGGTTCCATACCCTGACTGCTTCCGTGGTGGAGTGGATAGAGATTCAGCGGAAGGTCCGGAGAGCGTGGTGGAAGGTCGGCGGGTTCCATACCCTGACTGCTACCGTGGTGGAGTGGATAGAGAGTCAGCCCGGAGAGGGGAAGGTCGGCGGTTCCATACCCTGACTACTTCCGTGGTGGAGTGGATAGAGAGTCAGCCCGGAGAGCGGAAGGTCGGCGGTTGCATACCCATACCGGGTTGCAAACTTAAGGCTTTAAGTTTTAAGACATCTTACATCTGCAATATCGAATTCTGACTCCCCCTAAAACGCTATTATAAGATTCCATTTAAGGAAGGTTTTCGAAGTGACACTGTTAAATTTCAGATGTAACGATTAGAACACGGAATAGCAGATTAGAAACGTGCGCATGCTGAAATGTATAATTTGTTCAGTGCAGACCAGTGCAGACACACCACCACCCCCTCTCGCTCTGGGGCGTGGGGTAGGCTAGTGGTTAAAGCGTTCGCTCCTCACGCCGATGACCCAGGTTCGATTCTCCCATCTCCCACATGGGTCACTCACACACTTCTCTCTCTCTCTCACACACACACACACACACACACACACACACACACACACACACACACAGCCCTCTCTGTCTCTCTCTCTCATCGTTTCATACCAGTTTCTCAATGTCTCCCTGGCCTGTGCTTATTGAAATATATAATCCTTGTTCGTTTATTATATTTAACGAAAACGACTACTTTGTTACGTCGAAATAGAACTGAACAAGGATTTCAGATCGCAAATGAAAACTGTATCTTGGTTGTGACTAGATATGCCATATGTACAAACTGATAATGAACAATCACCTGGCGAGTGGATGGGGTACCTGCAGCTCACCAGGGACTATAAGTTTAAAGTTACCTGTAGAAGGTCCTTGATGAGCGAGGCCAGGAACATGTCGTCCAGCTTCAAGTCTTCATTCTCCAGGATGTCCTGCAAGGAACAAAAGCATCAGACAATCACCTTCCATACTAAATCTGATGACTGAAGCATGTAGCATAGGCTTCTTCACATACATAAACAGGTAAACATATTAAATATTAAATAGAATATCACAAAGGATGAAGGGATATGCAAATAATGAGGTTTCGGGTGAGGTTACGGTTTGGGGAGGATACTGATTTTTGATATTTTGTAATATGGCCTGGAGAAAAACCCGACACCATTTTGCCTCTTTTCGAGAAACAATCCGTCGAATGAGTACAAGTAAAACAGTTCTGTCAAATAGTTTCGTTTTTTAACTTTAAACATCCCCATCCCACAGACAAACGTTTATTTAGTCTTCGTTCCTTAGTCAAAAGAGTTACATCATTATCTCTAAAGGCTCTGGACAGTTTGTCAGGAACGTTTTTTTGTTCATTGAGAAAACAATATGTTGCATGCTAAGCTGTTTATGATAACTTTAAGTTACATTTCCAAATAAGTAGGCACCCCTAAGGAACTGTGTCTCCTCGCTGATTCTTCACGCAAAGAAATCGGAAATTTCTGCAGGAATTGGCATAATAAAGACACGCCACTTTGTTCAAGAGATTTTCTTAACCTTCAAGTATATTGAAGAAATGAGGTCATTCAATCATAACAGTCAAATAGCTACGCCTCATCTGTTGAGAACCTCCTAAAATCAGCGTGGTAATATAGAAGCCACAAAACTGTTGACAAGAGGAATGACTTCAACCTTACATTGTCAATATTCAACTATCTCAGTGTGTCGATGTACATCCCACCAGTTCCATCATTTGGCGTCAATATGTTTTAGAGGTTCAGTTGAGGTACAGATTCTACTAAGATTTCAAAGAGCGTCTTATCGTTCTCGTTAGATTCACAACATTTAAGGCCTCAGTAAAGCTCTCAGAACGATTTACGGGTGACGTGAAGGCATCAGTAAGAAAATGATGTAGATGCAACTTCCAACCTTCGCTATAAAGACGACTGCGTTGCCTTTGCAAGTGTTTGTGTATGATCTTTCCCCGAACACCTGGTGTGGTAGTGATTAACACATGCTTGTGGCATATTCGCATAGACTTTACTTATTATCCATTTCAATTCCACTCACCCAAAAGCTCGAAATAAAAGTATTTGACATACATAAAATAAATTTCCTACAACTTTAATTCTGTTTGTAAAAGCAGACACGAACTTCTGGTAATCCAAAGCCTTGAAATAACGTTTACAAAACATTTTTGGTATTTTCTCAAAACGATTTAAGTCAATACACTCTCTTAGTAACAGCTTTCACAGTCGCTCATCCCCTGTGGCGCTGGTAACGTTAAAATACTGGCATAGTGAAGGATATAAAAAGAAGTCATTAAGGTGCATTCGGAACGCAATCTGAAACGGAAAGGGCACGGGTCGATCTGGTCAATAATTCCTGAATTTGTTTAATTTCTCTAAAACACAGTTGGTACTGTCCGTAAAACCAATTTCTAAAGCCCAGTCGTTGTATTGATGGAATTGCTAAAGCGGCGTAAAATAATACTCACTTAAATACGGAATAAGGACACAACCGTTGGAATGCGTCTAGGTACGGGAAGGTTTTAATGCCTGACAAATCTTAATGAAATAAGAATTTGCATAGCATGATTGCCCAGCGCTTGGCGTGTCCCATATATCACGCTTATCTGCGGCGGCATAAATCTCGATGGTACATTCAACCCTTTTTTATAACCGCCAAATAGGAATCGCATGTATCTGTGAGACCCAGGCGCCAGTCTTTAGCTCAGATAAAGGTAATAAACACATGCAAAAACAGCAACAACTGGAGTTATATCGTTATCTCTCTAGTTTCAGTTGATTTATAACGGTAACGGTGGAGTAAAAACAAACTCCGATCTTTCACACGTTTGAGTTTCTCAACCTGCATCACTGAATGGATGGGTGTCACGTGACCTTATAACGGTTGATGGATGCTGATGGGCAGATGTAGCCCAAAGCCAGTTATTAAAGTATATCACGAAGGTTAATGGTTAGAGATGAAGCAGGGTTATCGTATTTCGATCATAATGCTACGTTGTCTGTTCATTAAAGCAAAAACGATGAGTGTTGAATCTTTAAGCTGTGGACGTCAGTTCCAGTTGAATCACCTCCACTAACATCAAATCTCCTGGACTGGGAAAATTTAAAGCATTGAGATGTGATTTAGACACATGCGAGAGGAAGAAATTATTTGTTCGGATATGATCGTGACGTTTATTCTGATATATTGTGGCCCAACGGATTCGTTTCGGTCATTTCTCTCTATTGGTATTCAACAGAACAGGGACGGAAACATGACTAATGTTTGACATGGAGTGTTTGAAACATGATAGCTTTGTTAAAGAAACTTCAAAACTACGGATTCAATCTGAATTTAACATTCTTGTTTAATAATTCCGAAAATCCTCCGCAGAGGCGGATTGCTCTGAAATAGAACAGTTCTGTTACAGATGAAATGCTGGGCATGTTTAATGTTTTTGAAAGAAAATAAATTGGTTTGTTTGTTGTTTAACGCCTCACTCAGCAATACACAAACTATATGGCTGAGGTCTGTCAATAATCGAATCTGGACCAGATAATCTAGTGATCAGCATCGATCAACGCATTTGGGATACGGTGACATGTGTCTACCAAGTCAGCGAGCCTGACCACCCGATCCAGTTAGTCGCCTCTTACAAGCATGGGCTACTGAAGACCAATTCTACGCGGATCTTCACAGGTTGATAAAAGATAGATATTGCTTATGTTTGGGTAGGGACATTAAAATTACCCTCCCCAAACCCGCAGCATAACACACATATGCTTCTTAAACCTCTTGTTCATACACTATATTTCCACAGGCCACCGTCACATGGACAGAGTGCAGATGTGCGACATTTGGTATCAAACAAATATTTTTTTCATGCTTGTGCCTACGATATTATGATTATAATTATAAGATAGGCGTGTGCTACCTTTCGCTAACACCAGGTGACAGCCCTGATTGTCATATCCATATCCATACCTATAACCTTTTCCTTTTGCGCCTAATGATTCTGTTTCGGCAGATATAGTCAGACTGGTTATTCTCTGGCATTGAGGTTTTATAATATTGAAAATAGTAGTGTACCAAATCTGAAATCTGAAAAGATGCATTCATCCCCTAAAATATACAACATAACCTCACTCACTTGACATTTTCTTCAATTTGATTTTAGAAACATAGTTAAGGTGATCACACATTTACCAGTTTGAAAATTCAAAAGAACATCGGTCTACACATGGCGTTAATAACATGATATGTGTATTACTTATGCGTCGCGTGTACCAGGGAAAGAATATTCTACAAGGTCAATTCTACCAAAATGTTTAGAGTAAATTCTCTTTCCAAGATTTCTAGAAATACCATCATTCAGTTGAAACCAATATGTTGCACTCCCTACATGTTCATTCAAACCATCGATTCTCCACATGGGTACAATGTGTGAAGCCCATTTCTTGTGTCCCCGCCGTGCTATTGCAAGAATATTGGTAAAAGCGGCGTAAAACCATACTCACGTACTCACACATTCAAACTAAACAACACATTGCAATCTACACATTCCCAACGTTTTCAACAAATTTTGGTATCGTCATTGCAAAGAACGTTCTGTCTACGAAGAAATTTTGAAAAATCATTTTCAGTGCTATTTTAAAGCCTGCAAAAGCAGATTTTTCGTTTAGTGTTCTCAGAGGCATTTCATTCCAGCATTTTCAGTGGCATTGTCTTACTGATGAATTGCTGGGACGTCGCGTTACTCAGACAGCGCGATAACAAAATATTGCATCACGCTAACCCGGAATAAATTCATATAGTCCACCAGCTCCATCATACGAAATAGGAGGAAGCCCCGGTGAAATTCTTTATGTTCAGTTTCCAATTATAATGTCCATTTGGACGGTGCTATTAGACCGAAGAAGGATTGCATTACAGTCGTGCAGAGAATTCGGTTGACTTAAATCGGACAATTCAGTCATATTGACTCGTAAAATCTATGAATTATATTATTGTGTTACTGGGATCTGTAGTCCTAAGGCCGCCTAAAACATGTTTGAGGGGGAGTTGGGACTGGTTTGACTTATTTTTATGAAGGGAAAATCTTTCTAGTTACCAGGATTACCACCAAACACAACCAATCAAACATTGTAAAACAGTTCCCCACACTTTATTACAATGTCGGTTGTCAGACATGGTGTTTGCTTATTCGACGTGATATATATGAAAGAAAAACACGGGTTTGGTACCAATATGGGATTCAAACCTAGTTCAGATGACTCTGCAGAGCCAAAGGCAGCGCCTTAGCCTACTGGGCCAAACGTAATGATAATGTTAGATGCCGGTGAGTACATGAATTGTAATAAGTAAAATAGTGAAAAAAGTGCCGGTATATCGTTTATCTTTCTCCCTCGCAGTCAAAGGAGACACAATTCGCGGTCGACGAAGGCACGACAATTAGCTTTCCAGGCCTAAGTCAGTTAGCTTACGACTGCCAAAACGTCCAAATTATCTCCCTTTGTTTGTCAGTATCTTGCCCGTGGCTCTCATGTACGTGGTAAGACCTCCACCTGCTTTCCTTTGGGCTCAGCGTCATATCACTGAATACTGTTTAATGTGGCCTTTCATAACACTTACTCACTCACTCACCTCACACGTTACTGACGTTACATAAAGATTTGTATTTACTTTCTGTGTGAAACTGACTGAAGAGTAACTCCCTCGCAATAACGTCGACGTGCTTAGAATCTTCTCCATTAATCGACACCCCACGATGCAATAGAATGTACATCTAACGGTAAATATTTCACGCACGTCCAAAACGCAGATGTTCAGTTTGCATAAGGCAGTTCCAAGCTGAACGCTGACGCCGTCAGTCTTACATATCAGGCCATCAAATACTCAGTACTTAATGCCCACAAGTGAAAACAATGGTTATTCATAATGAAGTTGAATCATATGTTGTATAACACCGCACTCAGCAATATTCCAGCTATAAGGCGGCGGGTTGTAAATATTCGGCCGGACAATCCAGTGATCAACATCATGTATATGGATCTACAAATATGGGATACGATGACATGTGTCAACCAAGCCAGCGAACCTGACCACCCGATCCCGTTAGTCGCTTTCTACGAGTAGAAATGGGTTGCTGAATACCAATTCACGGGCCTATATGCACAGAGTGAGTGAGTGAGTGAGTGAGTGAGTAAGTGTTTCGCCGTTTTTAGCCACATTCTAGCACGGCATTATCACACATTATAGACAATATAAAATACAAATGTTATCAGCAGTGTATGACCTTTCCCTCTGTCTGCGTCAACTCTTTGCTCTGACGTCATATGCTTCATGTGATACCGTTATCGCCTTAATGTGATGACCGCCTCCGTGGTGTAGTGGTTAGAGCGTCCGCCCGGAGAGCGGAAGGTCGCGGCGCGGGTTCGATCCCCGACCGCGTCATACCAAAAGACGTTAAAATATGGTACTTGTTGGTCCCTGCCTGGCGCTCGGCATTAATGGGTACAACAAGGACTGGTCGGCTCGGAGTCAGTATAATGTGTCTGAGTGGGGTATTCATGCTTCACTGCGGCGTGGTATCTCAGTGGGCTAGCACTATAAAACGAGCTTCAGTCTGGGCTAGTACAAGCAGCCGCACATACACATACACACGCATGCACGTCGTCATATGAGCGAAATATTCTCAAGCACGACGTAAAACCCAATTTCACCTCACCTTAATGTGATAAAAACTAAATCGTAGTGAGATGGTATCTGAATTAATTTGAATGATACGTTTTCCAAATTTGGGGACCCGTGAAAGCCCGGGTTAGAATATTGATCTTCAGTAACCCATGCTTGTCACAATAGGCAACTAACGGGATCGGGTGGTCAGGCTCGCTGACTTGGTTAACACATGTCATTGGTTCCCAATTGCGCAGATCGATGCTTATGCTGTTGATCACTGGATTGTCTGGTCCAGACTCGATTATTTACAGACCGCCGCCATATAGATGAAATATTGCTGAGTGCGGCGTAAAACTCACTCATTCTAAATTTGGGATGAAGAAAATAATATTCATATGCAGTACAAAGTAAGAAGAATTTTGGGACCAGTTCCATCTAACAACGTGTTTCAACCAATGTCGCTGCAGTACACCCCTAATCCTAACAAAAATAATATAATTTTAATGATGATGATGATCATAATATAAGTCGTTGTCTTAGTAACGCGGTTTACCTGAAGACTTCCTTTACTGCAATATTCTGTTATGATGATGAAGCAGGGAGGGTCGATGCAGGCGCCGATGAAGGCGTTCACCTTGTCGTGTCTCAGATCTCGCATCTGAAACAATAAAACACACACAATCTGAACCTCCCCTGGCATGTAATAATGACTTAAAGCAACGATTGTGTATCAGACACCGACATGTTTTTTCTATCGATTAGGTGACGCACTATTTCCCCGTTCATCAGCCATATAACAAAAGGTTAAAAAGAAGCATGTTTATTATTCATATAACGACTGAATATGGTGTTTATGTTGCCATGGAGACCGCTGAATAATTTCTGCAACGATAATAACGAATTCTTCTAGTTCAATGATTAGTAGATTGAATCTGAATTCAAGACGTTGGGGCAAACGGTACAGTTATTGGTCCCCAGTGGGAAACAACAAGAAAAACAACACTTCATCATTATATGTAATTAACATTTCGAAATGTACGTGTCCCAGGTGTTTGAGCCTGTCAAAACAGTAACACCCTGTTAGTCTGGACATCCTATATACAGGACATCTGCTGCAGGGAACGTCATCACAAATTAACAAAGGAATGTATCTAAATAACTGTCATGTATGATATCGTAAGGTAATGTATGAGCATATATGATATCGTAGGATAATCTATTGTCATGCATGATATCGTAAGTATTGTATGTATGATATGTCATTGTCCTGTATGATATCGTAAGGTAATGTATGGTCATGTATGATATGGTCATGCATGATACCGTAGGGTAATGTATTGTCATGTATGATATCGTAAGGTAATGTATTGTCATGTATGATATCGTAGGGTAATCTATTGTCCTGTATGATACCGTAGGTAAATGGTCATGTATGATATCGTAAGGTAATTTATTGTCATGCATGATATCGTAAGGTAATGTATGGTCATGTATGATATCGTAAGGTAATCTATTGTCATGCATGATATCGTAAGGTAATGTATGGTCATGTATGATATCGTAGGGGTCCTGTATGATATCGTAGGGTAATGTAGTGTCATGTATGATATCGTAGGGTAATGTATGGTCATGTATGATATCGTAAGGTAATGAATTGTCATGTAGTTTTGTATTGCCATGTATTCTCTCCAATGGGAATGTACTGCCATGTTTTGTTATGTATTATCATGTGTATGCGGAGTGTATGGTCATGTGATGTCATGTATTGTCCTTAATATTCTCACGTGCATTATCACGTGTTGGCATATGTTGCTTTGTATGGACATTTCTCGTGATGCAAGATGATGTGTTACTAGGTTTTACTCAAATTTCAAACTGAGTTTGACTAATTTCACGGGTAACTAGGGACACGTTAAGGATCAGATCCTCGATGCTGAATGTGCAGTAGATATACCGTGCAGTATCATTGCAACATGTCGTATTTTCGACATCTTGTCATGGATATTTAACGAAAAAATATTCCATTGTCTGCGGGAAACTTACGAGTTTCATATCTTTCTTCATCTTCCGGTTGACATCAAAGTTCTTCAGCTCATAGATCTTCAGAGCGACCACCTGCCCCTTGTAACTTCCGGTCTGCGCGAACAGCTGATTCAGAGACAGCTTTGAGTCGAAGGACTGCTGGCTGCACAGGGTCATCTGAAACAGACATATGCATTGAATGATCCGGGGTGAGCTGAGGTAGGTGGGGTACCTCATGAAGTTTGCCCTCAAACCCATGAAGGGGGCAGGACAGAGGGGAATTATGTCGGTTGCTGTGGATTCTGTCAGCGAAAGGTCACAACTCTACCTGATCAATTAATCGTTAGCAGTTCAATGACGTTCCTTTCATGACGTATAGTTCTTGAATGAAAGTGCACAATCTGATCATTATTACCCCGGATAAACCAAGCTGCGTGTTAGGCGCTAGAAGGTTAATAGTCTCACCTATTTCACCGGGTACCCATTTTCTGCTGGGTGAACAGAGGCAATTTTGAACGAGCATCATCCTCATCGCTATGGTTCGTTATCATCTCTCTCTTTCTCGAACTGTTTCACTAAATCATACTCTCTCACACCATTTCTCCAACTCGGCCCAACTCACATTCCCAATATCACGGAACTAGGTCAGGTTTCATGAGGTGTAAATATAACCCTCAATAACATTCAGGAAGAGGACAAGGCTGCTGATTAATCTCAAACCACGTACTGAGAATTGACACGAATACTTTCAGCATACATAAAAACACACAGCTGTTTATAATATATTTGTATACAGGAATGATAACATAACCAAAAGACGAACGTGGAGTTTCTGGTTATGAAGATAACCCAATTTATACCTAAAAGCGTGACAGAGTAACATCTTATTACCCATGCAATACGAGCCCAGATTCCTCGCCCAATCTAATTTCAGCAAAGGAGGTTCCTATCATGACCTAACACCGTTAGCTCCTTTAGATAAATAACAATAAGTCTTCTGATTAATGCTCACCAAATAAAATAAACACTTTGTAAGCAAAGATAAGAAACTGCATCATCACCAAGCGACTTAAAGAAACAAATAATACCAGTACGAGACGGGCATCATGTCAACACAAGGCGTTCTCTCCAGAGATAGATCAATGATGAATGTTATCTGATTTACGCACACGAGTAACTGGTACACCAAATGGCCAGATTTATCATGTGGCGACAACACTCGTCCTCAATATGCTTCGGTGTAATTTATAGGAATCGGAGAAATGAGGTGTAGGTCCGTGAAGTTATATTGGTGCAACGGCTGCATTGCGTCTATGGTGAGGACAGCTCTCGTTAAGTACCTACCTACCTACCTACCTACCTACCTACCTACCTACCTACCCAACCATCCACCCAACCAAGTATGACAACAAACACCCCTAAACGAAAAAGCTAAAATCAAGACAAACTAAATTCCCATCAACAACGAACTGTTCGCTCGAAATGTAGGACGTTTTGAATGAAAAAATAAAAGAGGTAATATCTACTGAATTCAGAAAAGATTTTTTTTTAGAAATATGAAATTCGGAACTACCTCTTCGAACAGTGACCGAAAAGTGTTCGACGTTTAACTCAATGATGACCACCAGAATATAGATCGATCCGTCCATTAGGATGGATAAAAGAAAACAGATTTCTGCTAACATTGGTAACTATTCTCGGAGGACGTTACCATTACTCGAGTGGAATCACCATACAAACAATTACACGTAAAACATTCCAGGAACCCCATACTGTGGTGGTATCGACTATTCATGAGGATAATTGATTGCAGCGAACATCAAAGCAGGCTGAGTATACCCCTCAATGTTTATGTGTTTTTTTCAAAGGTATTTTCTCAAAGGTTTTGATTCACAACAAACATACGAGGATCAGACATGAGATTAGAATATATCTTAATATTTGAATCAGAACGAAGAAAATGATTAGAGGCACAATGTCATGCAAACTGTCACTGATCACGTGGACTATGTTTTGAAATGTAATTAATAGTTCACATCGGGTTTAGTTTTGAGATCGTTAAAAAGGCTTTTCCACTTAACACTGACTCCCATTTCCGCCCATTGTTGGATAATGATTAGGTCTTGATATTTCAGAAAGGTCTTTATGGGTTTCATTGAGTAAAGTTTTTCCGGCGCTCTTAGGAACATTCCGGCCATTACGCTGCTGGGGATATGAGTGAGTTTAATTTTATAACGCTTTTAGCAATATTCCAGTAATATCACGGCGGGGGACACTCGAAATGAGCTTCACACATTGTACCTATATGTGTAATCGAACTCTGCTTTTCGGTGTGAGGAGCGAACGCTGTAACCTCTAGGCTTCCCCATTGCCCTCAGTTGATAGAAGAAAGGGATTCATGTACACTTTCGTCCATTCCCACGGAGTCGAACTTGGGTCAGCTAATCTTTTAGACGATATTCTACAACATGCTCGTCTTACTGTAACCTCCCCTCCAATATTCCTGTACTATCAAAGGTGCTGATTGGTCAATGCTAACAAACAGCCTCTTGTATTACATTCAAACAGTTATATTTAAGTCCAGTTTAAGGCAAAACTGAAGCACTTAGAACTGGTTCAGAAGTATAGCATTAAATGCTACTTGTCAGTGAGACACCTTTGCTTGTCCTCGGCACAATTTAGCAGTCTCGGTCTAGCAGTCTACCGATTCTAACGTGAGTGAAAAATAGTGAATCACAGCTATGTATAAGTGACCAGTGGTCTCTTAGTAATCCTACCCGGCTTCCATGCTTGGCCCTGTCCACAGACTGATGGAGGTTGTGGCCAGTCTTCAGCTCACTGATGTCAATTTTCCACAGCAGACCAGCAATCTCCTGCTCGTAGCGCCAGTTCCTGTTCCAAAAAGGGAGATAACTCAATTACATCTAAATCTCGAGTTCTGTTTAAGGAAGGGAGGTAATTCAATTACGTCTTGGTAAATCTCGGTTAAGACCTACATCCCTACTTTGGCATACGTGTTGCTCACTACCAGAGCTGTGAAGTTCGTAGTTGGGTTTTACGCTGCTCTGGACATCGTTTAAGTTGTGCAGCTCAATATCAAAACAATATGGAAGGAATGTCTAAGTTTTTGAGATTTTAATTTTTTAAAACTTCTACATCTTCGACAAAACCCGAGCACATTCATGGTGCCGGAAGACCAAAGATCATGATCGTATAAAACTAGAAATTTGAATCCTCGTTCTCAGTAACCAAGTCTCCACAGACATAGCTTTCAACCTTCCCAAAATGATATACTTTGAAATATGCTATGTCAGACGAAAGACTTGAATATTATTCATAGCATTAGGTTTAACCGTCCCACGGGACATCATAAAGGGCACAAGGAATCTACAAATCACTTCTAATACAAAGGGATACATATATGTGCCCCAGAGACAACGATCCATGTCAGAGAAAGCAATAGTTTCTGTTGGTCACCCAGCGTTATTGCATCACATAAATCGCGGGAGACGTACCACCGATGCCCGCCGCCGACAGAGAAAGAGCACATAACGGTACATACATATGTATATATAGATATCTGTATTCACACATCATGCAACTGTATAACACAGTCGTTATACATGCCATCCTGACTAGCGTCAATGTACAGAGTCGAGCATTATACTCGCAGATTACCGTGCTCTTCATTTATTACAATACGTCTTCGCTGTTAAGTTAAGTGTGTTGTATATCAAGCTTACATATTACGTAACGGTTATTTTTATCTCAGACTCGAGGGATCGTGCTTCATCTTTCTTCAGTCATAAAGGGAATTGTATAAGACTTACAAAACGCGTTCTTCTATTTCTTTGTAGAATTGCTATTCACAATCAGCTGTCGTGAATTACGAATTTTACGTCTAGAATAAAAGCCATTTTTTTACTCGGATTGGATATCTCACTTCGTGAAGACCTGACTACCTCCATACAGGGATGCGTCAGGGGAAGAACTTTAACTTCAAACTTCGGCTTTGGTCTCGTTTGGGCCTAATATGTCATCGCGTTCAGAAACGTCAGAGGGTATTAAGCACTCCCAATAACATATTCTAAAATATTATTTCCATTCGGAACTGACAGTTAATTTTGTTTTCGAGATGCAGAGCTCGGTTACACTTATCTGAATGCTTCGCTGTCTTGTACCGAGAATTTAGAAACCTCAACACTGATTGGCTGATGAGACATTTCACTGGAAGCGACCTCAGGTTCTGATTATCATGGAGAGAGGTATCTGATTTGTCAGATAAAAATATCTGAATAACATTCGGTCCTAACCTACAACTCCACTGCACCGTCCTGAAGCAATGCCAAAGTTTTGCCCCTCTTTTAACAATATCACATCCTTAGTCCAGCAGATGTTACTACAATGGGTTCCATGGAACAGGGAATCGAAATCGAAACAGCTTGACTATCCAACGCTGCTGGCTCAGTTTTCAAACTGGAAGCCCATGTTTGGTGCCCCATACCGTCATCTCGCTAAAGGCCTCGTAAATCACTTCTCACTCAACCCAACTAACCTGCATTCCCTGTGTGAAACAATGTCACTGTTAAAAAATCTAAGACCCGAGAATATCAGGATAAGAATTATTCTTGAGCAAACCATGCTTGTCCTTAGAGGCGCTAACGGGATCGGATGGTCAGACTCGATGACGTGAATGACACAAAATCGATGCTCATGATGTTGAGCACCGGATTGTCTGGTCCAGACTCGATTATTTACAGACCGCCGTCCAATAGCGCGAATATTGCTGAGGTAAACACCAAACAACAAACCAAAATATAAGTCCTCTGGCTCGAATTACGGCTTCAGCATTATCAGATCAATATTTCACTAAAGAGACAAACGGACTCCATCAGTTCAAATCATATAGCTATGTGGAAATATACCCCTTTGAAACAGAATACTCTATGCCAATATTTTAGTTCCCGCACTGCCTACTTGATATACAGTTAAACCTCGTCATTCAATACCATATCCCTCTCCCCGAAATTGCCCGGATAGAGAAAATTCCGGATTACCATTTAATGGTTTCTGAGCAATGTCGTTGTCATGACTGTGCATGCACATAAGCCTTCCAAGTTGTAATGGGTTTTTCGGATTAACGGGGTCTGGACTCAGTAAGTTTCATTGTACGTGATGAACCAATCTCATGGAAATCGTACTGCTCGCTGCTGCTTCACATGGCTCGTAGCATCTTTGAGCAGCCTAAGATCTGATTTTTGGTAATAAATCAGATTTGCAGACAGAGTTTTATGACTTGCTAGTATCGGCTGTTGAACACATCATATTACTCTTTAACATGTACTCACTACGGAATACCACAATGGACATTATGGGGAAATGTCCCTCCAAGGATCCCATAACCCAACCAACCGAACACAAATCTGTCTGATTACTACAGATACAATAAGGTGCCATTGAAAATGGGATTAGCACTAATATATGATTTAGCTTCGCGGTAAGGACCTTGCAGGTCAACAGAGACAAGCGAAGAGACTTTAAATGAGCTTAAGGTGCTGATTGGTGTTCGTATGTGTCGTGTAATTGGTTCCTGCTTTTAGTCTCATGTCGCTATCGTCCGTGGCACGATGAATGGACCGTTTTCGCCTCATGCTAATCGACGCCAGGATATACTGGAATCATGGGGACCGCTGGTTCCATTGTAGACACCGCATGAGACTCGTCATCGACCCTTGAATCATTGAGACGGTTCACTGTGGAGATTGCCACATCAAAGCGCTAAGATCATCCATCTCAAGTGTTGCGGTGACATATGGAAGGGACGTACAGTAATATAGGTAATCGAGGTTGGCGGAGCCCCGCTTTGAACAATATTCAGGTTATATCACGGAGTGACTGTTTGATGTGGAGGAAGGCAGGAGTAAAGGTGGACGTTGGAAACATACTCAGGCTGAATCAGAGCAAACTCACTAAAGATCCGATGACTTTATAGACAGTTGCACATGAACTTAATTAACTTACATTTAGAATTCGTAAGGGACAATGAAGAAAGAAGTTTCGCGATAAAATATATTTCTATCATGACGTCATTTCTGGAGAAATTCGCAACGTGATGACGTAGCTTGGAAAACGCTGTTTTTGCTGTATAGATAACAATCGCATCCAAAATATCGCCCTTTTCAACCTGAAGGTCACTGATATGAATGTGGTTATACACGTATGTGTATGTGGTCACTTAAGCTCGTCCGTACGTAGTAGTACTACCGCAATGACATGCAAAGCTGCAGTTTAACATGAATTCCCCACTCAGTCTTTGTTTTATCCCATTAATGCCGAGCTTCGGGCATGGAAACAACAAATACCATTTACTGACGACTTTTAGGATGACGGCCGGCACGATGACCTCCGAGCAGAGGCTCTAGGCGGTCGCACATCAGCATGAACACCTGCAGCTCAATACAAGCACCTGCAGATCAATACAAGCACCTGTAGACGACCATAACAGCTGCAGATCACCACGAACACCTGCAGGTCAATATAAATGTACATAAAGATGATCATCATCACTCACCTGTAGATGATGAGCAGAATAATGATAACAATGAACAAGAGACCCCCAAGAACGCCGAACACAATCTCTATGGTGTAATCTGAAACGACAAAATATACTCATTTTACAGTTTCCCCACACATCACCGCTCGGACACACCACCATGTAATTCTGAGAAGCCGTCATATCAACTGTTCGTAAGCACAACCTTACACAACCGGTCATCTGGTTTAACTGATTCAAAACACGTCAAGACGATAGAACAGTGAAATCAATCAAAACAAAAAACACCACACAAACAAACAATGCACACTTACGTTTTGGTGGTATGCACCTCTCTGCTAGGTATCCACACTCTGGTTCATCACGCGGAGGGTGGCCAAGGATCCAGTCGATTTCCTTGCCCTCAAATAGTCGGAAATTCTGTTAAAAGGAATAGTAGTAAATGTGTGAGTCAGTGTAATGACGCTTTAATGAGCATACTTTACAAACAGTGTCACAACTGTCTCTAATTGGTGGCCATGTGCATAGAGCTCCGGTCACGAATCAGTTGAAGTTAAGCAACGTTGGGCGCAGCGAGTCTTGGATGGGTGATCGTGTTTGGAAGATTGACACCTTAGAGTTTGTTAAAAATTGCCTCTGTTCACCCAGCAGAGAATGGGTACCCGGTGGGATAAGTCATGTAACCATTAACCTTCTAGCCTGAGTTATCCGGGGTAATAAGAATCACATTATGCGCTTTGAGCAGGAAAGGCGCGTTATACATATTCTTAATGATCATTATCATTATATGATGCAGGCCTTAAACACTCGTAAACCCCAAAAGCAGGGATATGGTGCTGACAAAAACCGAGAATCTGGGTTTCGAACTCACAATCACGATATAGCACGTCCAAGGGAAGCAATTCTTGATAGCGAAATACAGCACCGTAGGCGATTGAAAATAATACAACAAGTCAAGCACAAAATCTATCAATAGAGTTTCCACTTCAACAAATAAGACGAATGAGTCCACAAAGCACAACGTGTGTAAATAGCGAGAGGATTTCATGAATGAATCATGTCCGCGTTTACCCATTGATGCGAAATTATGAACGACATTGCGAGTAATCACATCATAAACACTGGAAATACCTAAACACCATAAAACATTTTATGTGATAGGCTATAAGTGTAACCAATATCATCGGGTCATTATTTCATTCTTTCATGGAAATGATTTTCAAGATATATTCTTGCTCCATTAGCCTTTCAAATGACTGAGTTAAAGAGCAATATATCTACATCTGATATATTGTATAGGCTTAGTTTGGAAATATAAAGAAGGATGACGTATCTAGCTCTTGTTTAACTCTATAATACGAGGAGGCATAAAAATGATTTATGTTATAAAAATATATAATCATTTATTGCTTATCCATCTTTGTCTTGAACTTTTAGTGATGGAAACTGACATCGTTTACTCCAACAAGTGAGTAGTTTTAAAAAGAGAAAATGTTCCATTTCAATCTTTCTTTGGAAATAAAACAGGAACAGTTGACAAATATAGCTAACCGTATTTTCCACTCCACATACGGAGCCCTCGTGGCACATAACCCTGAAGAGATATTGGTCACTTCAAATACACAATAAGGACTCCGCCTCTAGCTACCTGACTTAACCCTTTTATGAACGGGCGCCCCAGAGGCCCAGAGTGTCAAGAGGCCCTGGAGGGCTGCATGTAGTCCGACGTACCGGTATAAGTCTTGACCCCTCGATATGGAAGTGGCCCACGGGTCTCATCGAGAACTCGGAGTAGTAGCTCTTGTAACGGGCCCTGGCCAGTACGGTGTAGTTGCCCTCGGCATCTCCGTTGGCGTCGATGTGTGATAGGTATCCCTGGACACCTGCGTCACAGAAGGGTATTGGATTAGTGGTCGCCATCTTAACTGGAGCGAAGTAGTGCTTAGGTTATTTCGGTTAAATCTCAAAGAAACATACTACGTACTTCACACGTGATTGTTATTTGGTGTTTTTCGGGAAGATTCGGCATCTCCTCGGGGCGATTTTATACCCCTCAGGGAGTTGAGATATTGAGGCATTGCATAGCACTGATCCGCTTACCGGGTACTATTTGTACGTGCATCATCATCATTATTATCATCATCATCAGCAGCAGTAGCAGCACCCCACCACAGGCAATGGGTTGATTGTGATACTTCCACAACAGCTGTTACTACTACTACTACTACTACTACTACTACTACTACTACTACTGCTGCTGCTGTTACTGCTGCTGCTACTCATGAGATGTTGATGATGATGATGAGGGTGGTTGTATTTTTGATGATTAACCAGCAGTTTACGTGACCAATACGACATTCAGCAATGAGAATAAATGCAGTTCAATCATTTCTACCTAAATCACAAATTACAGCATTTTGAAATAATGGTTCTCTTGTGCTTATCAAGAAAATTCCAAATGCCACTACCATGGCACCAAACAAGGAAGTTTTGACCAATTTACCAATTCCACATTCTTACAGGGTTTTGCCTGCCTCTCTGTCTCCATGTAGATGGTTAACGATAGTCCCCGCGGGCAACCATGCTGTGTCAAATACATAACCTAGTTGGAAACGGACACAACACTCACAACCACGCAGTCCCTTTCCGCTACTCAAACAAGTTCGCGTTTTAGAAGACACCACGGGAAAATTCTAATTGGTCCAGCGAATACTCTCGCCTCAAGATACGCAGGAGATTGAAAATGCAGCCATTATTGTTAATGGTGAACCTATGACGATTGCAGATGTCCTTCCACAGTATCGGCCGGACAGAGACTCGGATGTTAACAGTTCAGGATCGGACATACATCTAAACACCATTTGCAGCAGCGGCATAAAGACCGTAAAGTAGAACAGTCCTGGAACCGTAAAGTGGCCTTCAGACTGGCATCGATTTGTCTTGGGGGTGGCTGTAATATGGGTTTATTTCACGGTACAAATTTCAAGAATGCTCTCCACACCTGTGCTTTCTTTCGCCCACCTACTGAGAGAGTTAGTGTATTTTAATTTGTTACACTTGAGATATGTAGACGCGTAAAAAACATATTACGTGACTCGTGGAAACTGTGTCGAGCTTTTTTTTATTTTCTCTTTAGTTCATGGCAGGTGTTAAGAAGTTTCAGACTGTTGCTTAATCGTGTCTTTTAGTTTGTTTTTATGAGAATTCCTGAAAATGAAGTAGTGTTTATAGGTCGTTCAGTGTCAAGGCAAAGCATTGACGGAAATAAATACCATTTCCAACATGGGATAACAGCTGATGGGTCTTCCTCAGAGAATAATTTATTGTGAAGGAATTAGGATTTATGGGCTGAAGTGATATTTTTAAAAGTTACGAGTTGTGTTTTTTCTACACATTATCAGAAAATGTGAAATTATTTACAGTCCTGAAATTGTGCCATACTGGTTCGACAGCCGGCACGGAAGGCCAAGTTGCAAAAATTCTCTGTTCAGGGTTCAAACCCTTTAGTTTGCCAGAAACATTGGTTCGAATTGTTTTTCTAGGTTTGTCAGCTCTATAATATTATCGTGTTTTTCACATAGATATTCTTCACTTCCGACTCTTACAGTTCAAACCGGCTTTAAACCCAACTCACTCACTACTTGACAATGACATCACTCCTGTATGAACTGCTATTTGTCAGTAAGTGATTTTTTACCAATAATATCACGGCGGGGAACACCAGAAATGGGCTTCACACATTGTACACATGTGGGGAATCGAACCCGGGTCTTCAGCGTGACGGACAAACGCCTGAACCACTAGACTACCCCACCGCCGCTGAACTGATATTAGATTTCACATAGATCCAGTCGGACTAATTAATTCCAGTCTGGTTAAAATGGTTGCCAGGATAGATAAAGCAACGTACTGGAATTATCAAAAGCGGACAAACCCCAGCATATTTCTTCTGAAAATAGAATCCCCTGTGAGATTCCGATTGCATCTTACTTAATCATATGTCGATGAATCATTAACAATATTAATTTTGATGAATGCTGATCCCAGGTGTTCGCTAAAAGGTGAGCGAATACTAATCACAGTCACAAACACTTGCAAAGGCAAGTCAAGGTTTTCCGCTTTGATCAGTATGTTAGCTCCATCATGACGATACACAACAAGCTATCACACGCTGCCCCAGAATCGGGAAAGCTAAACATGGGTCGAGCGAACGTTTTACCCACTATTCTAACCAACACGGCCTCATTCTGCAAAACCCGTGAAGATCCGGGTTAGAACTGGTCTTCAGCAACCCATGCTTGTCGTAAGAGGCGACTAACGGGATCGGGTGGTCAGTCTCGTTGACGTGGTTGACACATATCATCGTATCCCAATTGGGTAGATCGATGCTTATGCTGTTGATCACTGGTTTGTCTGGTCCAGAGCCGATTATTTACAGACCGCCGCCATATAGCTGGCATATTGCTGAGTGCGGCGTAAAACTAAACTCATTCACTCACTCATTCTGCAAAAAAGGACGAAAACGCTGCAAACACATCCTCTGGTTGTTCATGATGTTGTTTTCCTTAATATAATTAAACATGGTATGGGGAGTTCAGTCAGGACTAAAGACACGGATACCTCTAACGCTTCAAAGGAGGGCAATACAATTTACAAATCACGCTGCTTAACAGTTGCCCTTCATGAAACTTTTCTCCCCGACACCACCCACAAGCAAGGGTCGAAAAGTGCACAAACAATCATCGTGAAGATCTCGCTGACGTTGCTTTCTTGAGGCACATCAACAAATTACGAAGGTTGTCATGTTTCATTCTTGAACGTTCTCAGATTCCTAAAGAAGATGACCCAATACTGTCCAGCACTGACCGGCCATCTCATTTGGACTTGCGATAGCCCCCAGGGATTGCCCGAAATAAGTTCCATGCAATCTTTGCTCAATTGAGTCGCTGCCAATTTGGTGTGTTAACCATTCCAAGCCAGAGACGAACACTTGGACAGATGGGACAATCAAGAGGTGCTACCTTCTGGTAACCTTGGCCACAACAGCTAATGAGGGTGATAGAATATAGAAGTCCCTTGTCGAATAGCTAAATAGCTTAATCCTAAATGCAACGGAAGCTTAATCAATGGCAGTTGCTAAAGAATGGAATGTTTCACAGGGGAGGTATAAACAGCATATATCTGCCTCCATAAATCAGCGGAGGTAATAAGCTATCCGCCAGGAGCTGTAAAGACCAACTACTTCAGAAAGGCCAAATGTATAGAACTTTAAAAGCGGGGCTTCAAACATGTATGCATATTTGGAAGAGTGTGTGGGTAAATACGGCAACATAAGATTGGTTACACAATCTTAATTTGTAAATTACTAAATGTGGAGATTTAGAAAAATGTGAACGAAATTGACTGTTTCTTTATCTTGTAACTATGGATTTAAAAAACCCCGTTACAACGGAAACCTGGTGTACTGACAGTCAATGATGGGAAATCAGGTTTAACGTACATTCGCATGTGTGTTTAGTTATGTCTGTTTCATAGAGCTCACTCAGTGGATAACATGCCACACTTTAACATGAATGTGTCACTCACACGTCTCACTCAGGCACTCAGTACCATTTTATTATTGACAGCGTGTAATAACTTATGAGTCAGATAAGTGAGTGAGTGTGATTTTACGCCGCCTTTAGCAATATTCCAGCAATATCATTTCGGGGGACACCTGAAATGGGTTCACACATTGTAATCATGTGGGGAATCGAACCCGAGCCAACGCTTTAACCACTAGGCTACCCCACAGGTCCCGTCAGGTAAGTGATGTAGGTCTCGGGTATCTACCACTATGATGAAGCAGGGGGATGGAGCAGACAAACCCAGAAACAGAATCGGGGCAAACCGGGATTCGACCCCACGATCAAGGGTAATGTTTGGAACAAAGAAAACTTTTGACGACCTGAGGACTAAGGTTTTACACCGCTTTTAGCAATATGCAAGTGAATGCACGGCGGAAGACACCAGGAATGGGCTTCACACATTGTACTCATGAGGGGAATCCAACTTGGGTCTTTGGCGTAATCGCTATGCAACCCACAGTCCATTATTGTGCATGAAACAAACACTCTAAGGTAAACATGACGATCATCTATGTGTACTGACTTATGAAGGAACGATCCCGGATTCGGTTGATGATGGCAGTGCCGTTGGTGTGGCTGCCGTTATTCCGAAGCACGTGTTTCAAGGCGTCAGCATACAACATGACAGCATCGTACAGGTAGGCAGCGAACACGGTGATCTGAATGAAATATATAATTTAAATAATTAAGTCACATCAACATTTTATTTTCATTTAGGGGACAGTGGTTTATATTCGAGTAAACTTTCTACACATGCAATGTTATTCCAGACAGACCATGCATTCGGACCAAATGAACTGGAAATAAAGGAAGAACTCAGCCAATTTCATTTCACAACACATTTATCTCCGGCCATCCAGTTTTGCATTTACACCTGAAGCTGGATTTTTTCAACATTTTCTGGATATATTAAAGACTAACACCAAAATTCCAAAATATTGGCCCTTTAAAAGCATCTTCCACATACACGCATGTCTGTGATGTAACAAAGGGCGTCGTAAATCCAGATCAAGGAAATATAGTGTTGAATAGGGGCAGCTTTTAAATAATGACATTTTCTAATAAATAACTTTGAAAACGCATATTCACAAGTTTGTAACATTGCCCTTAATGACCAAACAACTTGTTGTTCTGTGTACTTTAGGCATGAGGTAGTTAAGCGCAACAGTGTCGCCAGCCGGGTTCGACTCCCATTCCATGTGCTTGAAGATGGACTAGAGCACATAAAACACTCCACCACACTCGATGCGTTTTATACAATGAACGAATGACAACCATTCGGAGATTTAAATTTACTTGAACGCTACAAGCAAATATTATCATTGTTTATTTCATATTTTAATGTTCATAATAACTGAGTCAGTAAATCTCGAACTAATGTATATATACTGAGTCAAAAAAGAAACTTCACATTCTTTCTTCAGGGCGCTATAAAAGAACAAGAGATGGTAAGATGGTTAAATTGTTATTAATTCATTGCTGAGATGTGTGTGATGTACTCGATACACTGACAGTGCCATAATCAGTTCCATCAGGCTACACCGCCGTTCCAAAACATGGGTATACAGAATGTCAAGTCACAAGAATAAAAATGCGAAATTTCTCAGTTCAATATCGTATGGCCGCCCCGCGCATTCACCACTGCCAAACACCGTCTCCCTCATCGACCGCCTGATGCTTGTGAACACGTGGTTGGGGATTCTGCGCCATTGCTCTTGCAAGGCAGCGCCAAGTTCCTGCAAATTCTGAGGTTGGTTCCTAAGACCACGAAGCCTTCTCCCAAGTGCATCCCAAACGTGCTCTATTGGATTAAGGTCAGGGGACCTCGATGGCCAGTCCATGACGTTGATTCCAGCGTTTTGAAGGAAATTTCGTGTCAACATCGCGGTATGCGGCCGAGCATTATCATGCTGGAACTGTAGACCTGGGCCATGAGCCGCCATGAAAGGAACGAGTTCAGGGGTGAGCACCTGGTCGCGGTAAGCAGCAGCTGTGAGGTTTCCACGGATGACCAGAAGTCGGGAACGGTTGTTCCCACAGAAAGCACCCCACACCATGCAACTTCCGCCCCCGAATCTGTCGACTTCCTGTACACAACATTGGGCATACCATTCACGACGTCGTCTCCAGACTCTATGCCTGCCGTCCGCGAATCTGAGGGTAAACCTGGATTCATCGCTAAAGACAAATCCAGATCAAGGAAATATAGTGTTGAATAGGGGCAGCTTTTAAATAATGACATTTCTAATAGATAACTTTGAAAAACGCATATTCACAATTTTGTAACGTTGCCCTTAATGACCAAACAACTTGTTTGTTCTGTGTATTGTAGGCATGATGTAGTTAAGCACAACAGTGTCGCCAGCCGGGTTCGACTCCCATTCCATGTGTTTGAAGATGTAATGTTGCTGAGTGTGGGGTATAACTAAACTCACTCACTCACTTGTTATAACCTCAGTTTAATGGAATTTGACATGGGTTCGACTCCCATTCCATGTGTTTGAAGATGGACTATAGCACATAAAACACTCCACCACACTCGATGCGTTTTAAACAATGAACGAATGACAACTATTCGGAGATTTAAATTTACTTGAATGCTACAAGCAAATATTATCATTGTTTATTTCATATTTTAATGTTCATAATAATTGAGTCACTAAATCTCGAACTAATGTATATATTTGCATTTCAACATTTGGGAAAGCACGGGTGGTTATGTTTCGATTTGCAGTATCAAATTCACAGTTCCTAAATCCCGACAGTATTGATGCAATTTGTTTTATAAAGTTATATAGTAATTGTTTCCGTAAAACATTTCTGACATTTCTTGAAGTCTTGCGATGGAGGTATGAGTTGTATGCCTTAACCGGTTCCACTATTGGTATGCGCATTTGTACTAGATAACTGTAGACAATCGTCCAGTTGAAGACATTCGTACATCCGGCGTTGATGAGTTCGATCTTAGTTAAGATCGCGATCTCAAATCCCTGCCATCTTCCAATTACACCGAGATCGGTTTTTGTAAGTAGGACAATTGTATGATTGAATAGATGATTGCAGGCCCTGAGATCGATTATAACTGAGATTCACTGTGAACATGAACCCAGATCTAGTGCTTGAAAACATGATGCGTTTTCAAAGTGTGTCAGTATATATTCAGCATTTTTCATCATGGTCGATCATTTGATATTTGGTGGGACGTGGAACTGGCACTTTATAATAAACGTAAATTCTAGCCTTCCTTCATTCAGGTTACTGCTGATCAGCTACATCAAGACGAAATTGTCTTGACATCTGGATGTGATAAACCTGATCGATCGATACCGATATTGATAGGAGATCATGATAGCTTCCCAAAAGCCTACTATTTGTATTAAGTGTTCGAAAACGACTTTCATGTCAAGTCTTAAATTATCAATTAACTTCCCACGAAACTGAACTCAAAGGCACGATGAAATTAGTTTCCGAATATGATGACTACGTTTGCCGTATTGACGTCACGGGAAGGAGCAAATGGCGGTCGTATTTAGATCCAGTACAATCAAACAGTTTCATGTTGGTCTTTCTGAAATCGACGAGGGGTCTCTTTGGTATCCTCAGAAGAACCATATCTCCGGGAAACTCTTTCAAAGTTTGAATTGATTTCATGAGGTCAAAGAAACAAACCATTCTGTGGGATACAAGTATTAGCGGATACGGCCGTGACTTGATCTTTGTAAACACTTGCCTTCAACATCGGCGTTACGACTTTCAAACCGGTTTGATATGTTCGATCAAAGACGTAATCTAAAGCCGAACATGGAGTTACATCAAACTGGCGAAAAGGATTTAAAAGTAATGGTTATCGTTCGCATGTACATTCACTTTTTTAATCCATCTATTGATGCAACACAAGTATTGTTGATGAACGAATGTAGTCATAAAAGGGTATATGTCCATTACCAGGGATATTCAGGCACAAAAAATGGCAAAAAGGATTACGAAGAGTAATATTTCCTTTTATATTATATTATCTTCGTGAGACTAAGACGGGGAAATGAGAAGCAGGTCACTGGTTCCAGTTACAAATGGATGTTTGGAAATCAGATGTAATATAACGGTTCTTCCCAGCATGGCAGACTTCGCCTGGCTAGAGAGTGGAAACAGCGTAATGCTAAAGTATAGCTCTTTGAATCATGCTGCTGACTGATGGAATCATGGAATAATATATGTGTTTTTCTAGATGAAAGAAATGAAAGGAAGTTGTATCATTCACTTGTATTATTAGGCTTGTATTATCCAGTTGTATTATTAGGCAACATCTGAAAGTATTAGCATTACATTTTAAATAAGTTGGAAGAACACTGGCTATATAACGGCATTTTAATGCTGTGGTTTTTCATAATGTCTGCCAGGGCGGCCATATTGAAATTCGAAAAAGGTGGGTTATATAACCTTCAGCTTCACTAGGCCGGTGTTTTTAAGAGATGTGTACACTTGCAACGAAGACGTCCAGGTTGCCGTCATCGGCGACAGCAACGAAAACGGATAACATATATTCCGTGCTCGCTTTTCTTTAAACACACTAAGTTGCACTCATATGTTTGTGTGTCTTATTTACCAATATCTAATAGAAAGCAGTTATAGAAACGTGTCCTAACAACCAAGGGTGAATATTAACATTAAGTCTAAACTGTATGACGTCAACTATGGTTTCTGCATTCGGTCAACAATAGTATTTAGTGATAAATCACCCATACAAGTTTGGGGAGGTCAGAATTTTTAACAAAATGGACAAAAACGCGTTCTTGACTGTACCTTTTTAGATTTGAATGGGTCAGGAAAATTAAATGGCGGCATCTCGTTGTAACGGTTGACCTGTGTCTGGAATTGGGTGTAGGCGGCGTCTGACGGGGGGCTGTACGTCACCACCAGCAGTGACCTTGACGCTTCCATGTTCCGGGTGTCGTTGAAGATGTCCATGGTCCCTGGGTACACATACAAGAAAAGATAACTAAATTATACACGTTTCATACAAAGTAGGGGCGGTGGGGTAGCCTAGTGGTTAAAGCGTTGGCTTGTCACGCCGAAGACCCGGGCTCGATTCCCCAAATGGGTACAATGTGTGAAGCCCATTTCAGGTGTCCCCCGCCGTGATATTGCTGGAATATTGCTGAAAGCTGCATAAAACCATACTCACTCACTCATACAAAGTATCTCGAACTAAAACAGGGGATATCTCCGTCTCGTCATTAGTCTGAGGTGTTTCTGTGTTTCTCCATCACAAGCGAAATACATGTATACTGCTCTGCGAGACGACGCAAGTGAGTGAGTGAGTTACGATTTTAAGTCACATCGGCAGTATTCAGCCAATCGCGACTGCAACAAGTTATACATTCATAATACAGCAAAATGACGTGAACGGTTATTTGGTCAGGACCAGTGACAACTTGACAGCGACATCTAACATCTAAAAATCACGGGTTTGTCTGGTCCAGATTAGAAGAAGCTGCGGTCATAAAACTTGAATAGTGTGTGGTCTCAAACGGGAAAAAGAGAAGCTATCAAACAACAATTTATGATCTACTGTTTTTCTGTATGTTCCCTTATTTATGTCCGCCAGTATATATGTAGAAAGATGCGACTTAGCAAAATTCAAATGAATTCGACAAAACCATATTAAGATGCAAAACTGCTCAATGGCACCTTTGCCTTGCTATAATGAATCTGTGAAATATGTATCAATAATCATATACAATATTTATTGGCCTCATGTAGCGTATTCTGCACATCAGACCACAACATGCTCAAGCGGCTGGCTGTACTGGTTCTGGGCCAAATTACGTACAAATATTTTTTTGATATATCTACCACAAGTAACATCGTGTATTGATACAGGGACACTGTGTGCACTTAGCTTCAAAATTACATGTTTTCCATCGATACACGTATTCCATAAAATGTAATTGAAAATGACAAGATTGGAGATATTAATTATTGTCGATTCACATTTCCTGGTATACTCACGAATAACATTTGACGGCATGTTTGACCAGAATCCTAACAAATTGATAACATCTTCGTCCTAACCTCGTCTTCAAGGGTCAAACCCTTCCCATGACTTGATGGATATATTTTTTGTAATTCACAGCGATATTAAACTGCATGTTGTTCGCCTTTGAAAAATGACAAAAAACGAGTTATGGTCTCAATATCATGTTGGAAAATCCGGTAATCGATAGTTGTTATCGTTTTAAATGCCACTCGGCTTATACTATAACGAAGCACATTTGTGTTGCCATATTACCTTGCCATGACCGACAGAGGTCGAAGAAGTTGCTGTAGAGATGGGGAGGGATGACGTTGGCAGGGTGACGTTTTGGTCATTTGAGTTTTGTTTGTTTGTTTGTCCACGTTTAACGTAACATTCAGCAATATTTCAGCTATATGACGGCAATCTGTAAATACATGTCTAGACCAGACAATCCAATGGCTGACATCATGAGCATCGATGCACGAAATTAGGATACGATGACATGCATCAGGCAAATACCGCCTCCCGACAAGCATGGTTTGCTGAACACCCATTCTGACGGGTACTTCACGGGATTTTGATCTTGTGAATATAGAACTGTGTATTTGTTTTTAATTGTCCAATCATGTTTTACAATCACCTGTAAATCCTGATTATTGAGTACTTTTAACAAATTTCAAACATTACTTCTTTCGCTCATATATACTTATCTCTCCAGTAACGACCAACTCACATGAAACAGTGAAAGCCGTTTAGTAAGACACCTGTTTATCCGGAAAACTCTCAATTCGGATAGTTACAGTCGGAAACATCTTTTTCAACACGAGAGACACATGGCACATGACATCAGATCCCAGTTGCGTAGCTCGATGCTCATGCTGTTGGTCACTGGATTGTCTGGTCCAGACTCGGTTATTTACAGACCGCCGCCATATAGCTCAAATATTGCTGAGTGCGGCGTAAAACTGAACTCACTAACACACTCTAATGAACCGTTACTTTAGTCCGTTCCCATGAACTGTTAATTATTGTTAATATCGGACATCTATACTACTTTAGATGATTTCAAAGGGATTATCGAGATGTCACTGAACCTTAAATATCCGTTTATATGTGCGAAACATTTAAGACGGTAATTTAAATATAAGACGGTAATATATCTCATAATATTTCTTTATCTAGGCAGCACTTCCTAACAAAGAGGTATAAACTGAGAAGAATTATCAAAACCTATCTAGGCTTAAAACATTCGCCAAAACACCGCAAACCGTTAATAAATACAACTGTAATGCCCGTTTGAAAACATCTCTATCGAATAATAATGTTTTGTTTTATGTTAAGCGTACACTTTCTTTTCAAAGGCAGTTAAAAAAAACAACCCCCATAATGACCAAAAAGAATGACAAAGAAAAACAACAACACAATCATCCCCCCCAAAAAAAACCCCAAAACAAAACAAAGAAAACAACAACAAACAAACAAAACAACAAAACACCCCACCCCCAAATAAAAAAATAATATAATAATAATTTAAAAAAAAAAACAAAAACAAATATAAAAAAATAACATCAACAAAAATCGCCTAAAACAAGCACACGTCAAAATGCGCTTGATTAAAAGCATCTATAAAACATCACACTGAAATGAAAGAAAGGTTTATGCATTATGTATTTCCGGTCCTCAAACAGTTTATCCCGACGGAGAGCCGGAACGTCCGAATACGTCAACACGTGGTCCACCTGTCGCTGACCCCTGTGTAATGTACAATGCTATGGCCTGTCCACTACACCGCGTACGCCTGCAAAGGACAATATCCGGAACTACCCACTAATTATTAATAAGGACACTCAGATGAGCGTTAACCGCTGACCATACTGGCACCTGTTCCACCAATTTCTGTTCATCAAATCCGCCATTACTGCTAAATATGGTTTAACACAAATACCGACAAGTCGACTCCAGCGTGAGATTGTTAAGGATGTTAGCCAGCCGTGTCTCAATAAGTCCGTTCGGAGTGTAGATTGGGCATTTGAATGGGAGATGACTTAAAATAAGCAATTTATTTTTTTAATTATTTATCAATATTGACCATATATATTTCTATCACGTTATTGACAAATATTACTGTATTATCCGTGTCAGAATGAAAATGCCTTTGATCATACAAATTGTATAAAAAAGTGTTTAATTTTCAATATGTCAAAGTGTCTTGATATCAGTGGTTGGTTGGTGGTTGGTTGTTTTAAGCCGCACTCAGCAATATTCCAGCTATATGGCGACGGTCTGTAACTAATTGAGTCTGGACCAGACAATCCAGTGATCAAGAGGAGGGGCATCGATCAAAGCAACTGTGATATGATGGCATGTGTTAACCAGGTCAGCGAGCCTGACCACCCGATCCCGTTAGTCGCCTCTTACGACAAGCATGTGTTGCTGAGGACATATTCAAACCCGGATCTTCACGGGTCTCTTTATACTAGCGGTTTAACGATATTTCAATACAGTACTGTGCCGCGATACGAGGCTTACGATACAGTAGATTTATTTAGATATCGCAATACATACGATCCGTTACATTACAAGTTGCAGTGATGTATGAAAAATAACAGAAACTGTGCAAGAAACCAGTTTATGCAGATTCTCTAATATTTCCTGTTTCACTATACATAGCAGACACTTCATAGCGCTCCCAAGCTTAAACGTGCCTCCCTACGGTATCCCATCTTTACTGTCTGAAAGTTCAAAGCAAGTGATTCAGAACTATGATTTTCTATGGAAAGAGAGATAATATGAACTTGTATTGTATCGTGATACGAATCATATCGCACCCTTTTAATCGTGACGTATCATATCGTAGTGTTATCGTATCGACAGTTGATACTTGATACAAGCCTTGAGGGCGGTGGGGTAGCCTAATGGTTAAAGCGTTGGCTCGTCACGCCGAAGACCCGGGTTCGAATCCCCACATGGGCACAATGTGTGAAGCCCATTTCTGGTGTCCCCCGCCGTGATGTTGCTGGAATATTGCTAAAAGTGGCGTAAAACCAAACTCAGTCAGTCAGTCAGTGATACAAGCCTTGAACCATGTCATTTTTTGGTCATGTTCATACTATACCTTTGTTTGTTTGTCCACACCAGGGGTGGTAGGGGAGCCGAGTGGTTTAAAGCGTTCGCTCGTCAAGCCGAAGACGCGGGTTCGATTCCAGACATGAGTACAACGTGATAAGCCATTCCTGGATGTTGCTGGAATATCGCTAAAAGCGGCGTAAAACTAAACTCACTCACTCACTGTTTGCCAGCACCATCCCCGTGTTCATGTGCTTTTACTAGACATGAAAGCATCTGAGACATGCACTAGATGGTCTTGCCGCCCACATTAAACTGACACGCTGTTGTAACTGGAATACTGATCAAAGCGACGTTAAACCCAGCCCAACAATCTTCTAGCTATTAAACAAAGGTTGATTGAAACCCGGTACGTGTGTGTTTACCTTCACACCAATATCAGCAACACTGTTTTACAGGGTTTCACACATCGCGCCATCGCGAGGACCACGTAATGACTTTGCTATTCATCAATAAGGCTCCCAACATCAAAGATGTAATGAAAATATGTATTTTGTACGGCCACTGTTAATAGCAATATTTTTATGAAACGAAATCAGAAAAATGATAGAGCAAACACTGAGCAAATTGTGTCTGGAAGCTGACTTAAAGTTGATGAAAATATGTAACATGAAAGAGCACATGCCAGTAGTTTAAAGACGCTGTTAACAGAGGCGTCTACATCATACTCATCTGGTCGTAAGAGGAGAATAACGGGATCGGGTGGTCAGGATCGCTGACTTGGTTAACACATGTCATTAATCGATGTTCACCTTGTTGAACTCAGCAGCTCGCATTGTCTGCCTCAAGTTCAAGAAAGATCATATCACACCTTCACTGATGTCTCTACTCTGGTTGTCTGTCAAATTCCGGATTGACTTCAAGATTCTATGTATCACTTTCAAAGCTCTACATGGACAAACTCCTGAATACCTTTCCAGTATTCTGTGTCAGTACATTCCAACCCGACCATTACGATCCCAGAATCACCAGCTACTTGTCATTCCTAAAGTTCGACTCTGTCTCTCTGTAAATAGTTTTACCTATTTTCTTTTCTCCTATAGTATTGTAGCGCCATGAGCGGGTATTAGTACCTGGATGTAGCGCTATATAAATACCCACATTATTATTATTATTATTATTATTATCATTGGTTTGGTGAAGACTTAATTATTTAAAGACCGTGGCCATATAGCTGGAATATTGCTGAGTGCGGCGTTAAACAACAGACTAAAACAGATATCTTCATCTCATGATGAACAACGTATACTGATGTTCTGGCCAGGGGCTAGGCTTATACCAACACGACACCAGCTGGTGTGGGTCATCACGAAACAGGAAGTAGGCGTATAACTAGAAGTAATCCAAGGGATAATCCCCTTTCAGTCCGTGATTAGTACCATCAACCTTTGACAAGCTTTCCGTGGGTTCCCCATTAGCAGATTAACTACTTTTAGGTTGGAAGAATGAATGCAGGACATGCGATGGCAACGACTTACTTGATACAAATGTACCCAAGGTTCATTTTGCTTTTTAGAAGGAATGCATAAAAGATACCTAAAAATGTAGACTTTGTTTTTCTCGGAAGACAGACGACCTTGGTCCTAAATGGTTCTTCTTTCTGAATGAGTCCGTCTGGCAATGGTTTTAAGAGGGTTCCATTGTTAAGGTATCCAGAAGATTTTACCATTTTTCCGATTTCTGGTAATTGGATGTGAAAAAGTGTAACCTCGATATATATTTATCTTCATTTCCGTGGAAAGGTTTAAATGCAATAGCTAAAGATTAACGGTAACGTGTCAAGTTATTTTGCCAATTAGTCATTGGTATATTGAAATGGATGTTTTCTTTTTTTGTTCATAGTTTCAAAATTATTTTTTGATATTCAGATGGTGAAGACCCGGGTTCGCTTCCCAAGCCTTTACTAAATTACCATAGCGGACATAAGCCTCCCAATCGAAACTTCATGAAAATCTACTGCAGTATTTATGTGTCTATCGACGAAAACATTGTCATATATGGCCACTGTCGCATACGCTGCATAATGTTTAAGACGTATTTTGACATTTATAAACAAGACATCAAAATATCCAGTACTTCCCAACATTCGACAAAATAGCCTTAAAAAAAACATTACTAAAAGTTGTAATAAAATCAATCAATATTTCACAGATGTAGCAAAACACCAAAAAACTTAAAAATACATGATGTGTGCAGCTACCAAAGTTTGACAAAAACATCCAATGAAGCATCCTTCGTAATGTCGTTAAGAAATCAAATCAATATCTACAGAAAATCATCATGAGTGTTTTATAGGAAAGCCACGAGGGGCGGACTAATCTTTATATAAATTCAGACTTACGGGCCAGGTGAGGCAAACTATCCTTGTCTAACTCTATTGCCTGATGCCCCTAATGGGCATAATATAGTCAGTCTGTGCGCTTGATGAAGATTATCAGATTAGTGAAAACAGTCAGCTCAAAATAGATATTATGCACGGTCTGGTAATTTTCAGGATGGGGATAATGATTATTTATAGGGAGTTATTGTATTATCCACGTGTCAGATGGTTCGTGGTACAGGTCACAGCATAGTGGAACCCGTGGCCTCCACAACACAATCACGCCTTGATATACAGTTCACGTTGTAGCGTGCGTTGGCGAATTATCTCATAGAAACAGAGCATCTTTGATTTCATATATAGTATTGTTTGTTGTTAAATTGCGCCACACTATATTCTAGATTTCTGTCGGCGGTCTCTATATAATGGAGTCTGGACCTGACAATCCAGTGACTGACATCCTGAGCAATGGGATACGTTGACATGCCCCATGTCAGTGAGCCAGCCAACCCGATCCCGTTAGTCGCAGGGGCGGATACAGCTTTTTGAGAAAGTGGGTGCACACTATTGAGAAAGGAGGGGTGCACACTTTATTTTCACGAGAGTTTCAATGGTCATTTAATAAACTTTCAGGACAGAAGGGGAGTGCGCACGCCTGCACCCCGCTCTGGATCCGCCTATGAGTCGCATCTTACGACGAACATTGGTTGCTGAAAACCAATTCTACCCCGTACCTTCACGGTTCCGTGTTTGTAGTTTGGGGTTGGTGGGGGTAGATAATGGTTAATATTTTATGAAAAATTAAGCGATAATCATAATAATGTCTACATTCACATTTATTTCCAAGTGACATTTTATGGCCGGTGAATTGGTTTAATTCCGCTTCAAACAGCATTCCAGTTACATTACGGCGTGTTGATGTGGGAGAGAAACCCAACGTAATGCGGGACAAATACAGATTCGCGTCATCTTCATAATGCGTTTACATAGAGTGAGTGAGTTGGCTGGGTTTTACTCGGCTGAAAACCAAGGCATTCGGGTCCTGAAGAACCAGGGTTCTTAACAGGACGAATCTGGGATTCAAACTAGCCAACAGGATACATCTCTGAACCATGTGTGCCACCTTAACTGGTCCCCTTGGTTTAACACAGATTCTGATTTGTATGTGAATTTGGAACATATTACAATCATAACAACGGCCAGAAATCCACATGCCACGTCTGTGACAAGAAATGCCATATAAACACAGACTATCATAGGGTTAAATTGAATGACATGTATATGGCATCCTATAAGGGACACGTTGTTGTCGCATTGTCAAAATGTCGCGTTGTCACATTGTCAAAATGTCGTGCTCTCGTATTGTCAAAATGCCCCGTTGTCGCATTGTCGTGCTCTCGCATTGTCGTGCTTCGGTTAATATTGACACTTCGTTTTTTTTAGTAAGGCGACAACGCAATAACGCGATAGTGTCCCTACCATGTTTCCATACATTTGATATTTAACACAGCCAAGAATGTATGCTTTTAAGCATTAGGTTGCTTCCCGCATACTGCTTGAAATGTGAGCACGAGTGCTCTGAATCAACAACTGTAAATATATTCTTCACACCGTTTGTGTAAGGGGGTGAAAATCGATGACCCGTTTAATCAACGTGCTACTGTTTGCAGAAATAGACGATATAAGATGTCAAGAGTGATCGACTTACGCCTGAAGTATTTGAGAGGGTTCTTGCTGTCGAAGGTGTTGTGGTCGACGTAGATGACGATGTAGTCGCCAGTGTCAAGCAGCCCACGGTCATACAGGTTGGTCATCAAGTCCACCACTCCATTCACCTCGCCCAGGAATACGTATACTGAAAAACAGAGTCAGTTTCAGATATATATCCTTGTAATTCATTGAGCTAGGGAATACGCTGGTATACAGGTATACAAGGGGCGGTGGGGTAGCCTAGTGGTTAAAGCGTTCGCTCGTCACACCAAAGATCCGGGTTTGATTCCCCACATGGGTACAATGTGTGTCCCATTGGGATGTTGCTAAAAGCGGCGTAAGACCATACACGCCCATTCACAACAGGTATGCATGTATTTATTGAGTATTCTACCACGAAGTTACGAACAGAGGTACAGATAATCTGCGCATCTGCGAAAATTACGCAAATATTTACGTGAAAACTGAATTCTTATCAAGTATGTTGCGTACAAGTACGCTTGAATTTTTGTAAATACTCAATATATTTGATCTTACATGCGTACACACAAAAATGTCAAATATTAGCTTGCGTGGTGCATAGATAAAATAACTGAGGTATATTGAGAGGTTCTATTTCAACACATGAATCAGGCAACTTGCAGTCTTTCTTATCGTTTCTCATATCACAGATCCAATACAAATAACATTTAAACTTTATTATATTAATTACAATTAATGGAAAATGACAAAATACCCAATTGAGTTTGAGTGAGGTGGGTACAATTTATTTGGATACTCAAAGGAAAATTAGGATACCCAGTTGAGATGAGCACAAGCGAGTACATAACTCAATGACCCAAAAAGTTATCTGTAGCTCTGACGAATATTCTTGATTCCGAAAATGCTTGGTCAATATGAGGTTTCAGAGCAGATCAGATGCTCATATTCTTCGAAACGTATCTCTTCGTTGTTTTCTATGTAATAACGTGTACAAAAATGTAAGCTTCATGAGGCAAAGTTGAGGTTAAGACAATATTCATTGCAAAGAGTGAATTGAATGAATTAGAATAGATCACGAGAGTGACAAGGGGTTTATTGGTAGTCATCGAACACTCACTGCGTGCGCTGTTTACTCCCAAGTAAATGAGTATGGTTTTACTCCGCTTTTAGCAGCTATATCCCAGCAATATCACGGCGGGGGACACCAGAAATAGGCTTCACGCATTGTACCCATGTGGGGAATCAAACCTGGGTCTTCGTCGTGACGTGCGAACGCTTTAACCACTTGGCTATCCCACAACCCCCAACAAAAGGCAAATACCCTCCTTCCTAGAATTTGTGAAGTCGTCAGTGATAAGGAATTGACATGAAGTCATCAAACCCTTATACGCTGATTACTCCCAAGACCAGGATTTATTGCGCGCTGTTCTCTAAAACTAACTCTAGTACGGTTTTAACACTTGTGTTTTGAAGAACTGGAATGCCATTGTGACGTACGTGCACGAAGGAACACCACAGTGGAGTTGTCAAACAGCCACGTAATGTGGACGTAATCAACATTGTGGGAACCGATAAATATGACGGTAGGAATGGGAGTCGAACCGACAAATATATGACGTCAACGCCAGAACCAGTCTAAATTGTTGGCCAGAGAAGATTCCATCGGGAAACCGCAAATGGCGGTGAAAATAATTTGATTGTGTTTGTTGTTTAACGCCGCTTTCAGCAATATTCTAGACGATGGTCCATCATTATTCGCGTCTCGACCAGACAATACAGTGATTGACACCATGAGCATCAGGCTACACAACTGGATAACGATGACATGTGTCAACCAAGTCAGCGGGCCTGACCACACATTTCGCAAGTGGCCTCTTACAGAGGAGGGGCGGTGGGGTAGTCTAGTGGTTAAAGCGTTGGCTCGTCACGACGAAGACCCGGGTTCGAATCCCCACGTGGGTACAATGAGTGAAGCCCATTTCTGGTGTTCCCCGCCGTGATATTGCTGGAATATTGCTAAAAGCGGCGTAAAACCAAACTCAGTCAGTCAGTCAGTCAGTCTTACAGAGGACCTTTGAAAATAACCCATGACACCAGGTGTTCGTGTAAAAGTATAAGATGTTCGGGACAGCCGGTATTAAAGTTTTGCATTGAAAGAAAACCCAGGGTTTGTTGTGTGACGCCGCACAACGGTACTCCTGCAATGTCACGGGAGTAATAACAAACCTGACAATCAAGTGATCAGTGGACCAGACAATCCAGTGACACGATAACGCATTTACTGAATTTTCTAAAATGATGTGTTATTATTCAAACAACAGCCCAGGCTTTTAAGGTTTGATTTCTGTTTCAGGCTACTGATCATCCATCATTAACAGAATAATGTAAAAAAAAACCCAAACTTTTCGATCGCATGTAACGTCATAAAACACGGAATGATAAAATCGTGTCTCTACAAGTGATTCCCATTTGCTAACATACAAAACACAACAGGACATAACAGAATTAGAAACAAATTAAGTGTGGTTTTTCCCTCTCCAATACTCCCAATTCATTTCCTGTCAGAGCGAGGTCATCCTGATTTCAAGTGATGGAAACCACAGGAGATATTTGCACTCAATTTTCTTCCATCATTTCCAGACATTAGGAACTCGCCGAACAAGTTTATTCGTCCCCATTGGACTCTTTTAACCCTGGTAAATTAAATTAAAATTTCAAATTTAATCTCTCTTTCCCTTGGCATTAAATGAGGCACGAGGTACAATTTCTCCATCAACGTTTTATTACGCAGGTCACTAGAAGAAACATAACTGAAGCTACGTTAACGAATTAGCATCTGATCCGGTAGATACGTTCTGAAACCAATATCACGAAGAACCATTCAGGCTTATTGCTGATATTAATGCATCTAAAGCCCCTGAAAATAATATCGACACGCATAGCTGCAAATGTCCTGATGCGGCGTTAAGCAATATTCATTGACTCCTGAAGATAACGATCACTGTGATTGTATTGTGAAGCATGCCATCCGAATCTGAGATAGTCATGGCAGTTCTGGCATCAGTAAGGTCAAGGGTGCAAGAGTACAAGATGTCAGCTGTCTGCAAATGACACTGGAGTTGATTATTGGTGATTCCTGCTCCATGTATCAGGATTCATTAGAACGTTGGACATGCCGTGAATGTGAATTGGGATGGTTTTAGCAACATCATGACGGCACACCAACAACCACTCACACTTTACCAATCTAAGGAATGGAAAACATGGCTTTATAAGTGAGCCGTGCGATTTAATCCATCGTACCTCTCATTGTTTCTGTCGTCGTTGGTATTCAATGTCAACCTTTAGAGAAATTAAAAATGTGAATTAACACAACAAGCCCGCACCTCACGTGATTAGGACTCATACCTGGTTGTACTGTCAATGCGTATACATGTATATCGACAGGGGAACTAGCTCAGAAATAAGACAAAAATACGTTTGGTTGGTTATACAATTTCACAAATTACAAGGACAGTAATGAGCGGAATGTGAGCTGAACGGAGCGACAGCTCAACCTCTTCTCATGTCCTTTCACAAGATTGTTTGTTTGTTGCTTAACGCCGGACACCGCAGTATTCCTGTCTGTAAATAATCGAGTCTGGACCAGACAACCCAGTCATCAACAGCATGAACATCGATCTACGCAACTGAGATACGATGACACGTGTCAACCAAGTCAGCGAGCCTGACCACCCGATCCTGTTAGTCACCTCTTACGACGAGCATGGGTGGCTGCAAACCTATGATCTTCATAAATTCTAACCCGGACAAGTACAAACATCAAGTGAAACTCCAATTATATTAGCAGTCCGTCCGTCTTTACACAGCAGTACTGCCTAATTGTAGAGATGTAAAACACACACACGCACACACACATATCATATTATATACATATAGATATATATACACACACGCACACACATATCATATATAATATGATATGTATGTGTGCGTGTGCGTGTCTCAGTTGCGTATATATATATATGAGTGTGTGTGTGTGTGTGTGTGTGTGTGTGTATGTGTGTGTGATATGTGTGTGTGTGTATATTGAAACAACAGTGCACGGACGCAGAGACAGTGGCGTTGCCTTGAACCTGTTGGTCCAATCATCGACAAGGTCAGGGAAAAATCAATTAATGTATAAATGTGATAATCTAAATTACAGTGGCGGACGGATTGGCTGACAGGTCAATTCACAATGCAGCGGTGATAAGGATTCAGAAAGGCGATTAGGGTCATATAAATAATTCAAATTAAGTTACACATATCTTGGCGACATTGTTTTTGGTCTTTGGAATTATTCGGACAATGGCTGTTCTGAATAGGTCGCTATGACAGTCGCTTTTAACATCGTCCTTGTTGCAGTGTTATTGTGTGGGAGGACCATCCGGCATACAGGCATGACTGTATCACACATGCTCCGATGGAACCAGATACACAACCAGCCATCATAATTAGGCTGGCATCGAGGAGTCTAGGTTGTCTCTGTTGATGAAAATACAAGTAATTGGACATGTGCTGCCAACTGACAGGACTCATACAAAGGTGGTGTCAAGTTAAGGGGGTGTTTTCCTTTCTTTAACATTGTTAAGAGACGCGCAAAAGTGAGTATGTGAGTGAGTGAGTGTGTGTGAGTGTGTGTGTGTGTGTGTGTGTGTGTGTGTGAGAGTGAGTGGGTGGGTGGGTTTTGAGTGAGTGAGTGAGTTTTTAAATTGTCCATCATTATCATGGCGTGGGTTGTCAGAAGGGAGTTTCACAATTTATACCCATGTAGGGAATCGAACCCGGTGGGACGAACGCCTTAACCACTAAGTTAATCCAAGATCAGAAAGAACTTAAAATGTCACAACATGTTGATTGAAAACAGGATATGATTATATATGATCAATGGTACTGCTGATACAGTAGGCATCTCTTGGGAGACAGTTAAGGACATTTTGAGGAATGAATTGGACATGTTTAAGAATTAACCAGCCAGCTTCATCAACTCCGTCCATCCTTGATAGATTCACAAAAGCAAGTGTTGATGAATCACCATCAATTATTAATGATAATGTCAGGTGTTGGCGAAAACGTTTCCTTTCCAGGGGTTCCAGGGGTCACAAACACACACAAAGGCAA